AATTACATAAGATTGATACATTTCTATTAAAAAATATATCATATAATATATACCTAGTTTTAATTTAAAAAATAAGATTTATAACGGACATTTAAATAATAAACGCACATATTAAGCAGAACTTGTGAAATTCTACATATTCTGTAAAAAATATGAGACGGCACTATAATACGATAAATTTTCGTGTACAATATTCATCTTAAATTATAATAATTTTATTATATAATATATACTTATAATATATACAATATCTGGAAGAAGACGGAAGAGAAAGGCAAAATGAAGGTGAATGAAAACAATTAGCATAAACAGATATTTACCTTAGTTTCATTTTTTAAAACATTCCCATTTGAGTTCAATTTTTTTATATAAAGATGCGCCATTTTAAAATCAAAATTCATTTTAAAATCAAAATTCATTTTAAAAGCATTTATCAAAATATTATTGGTGGTTAAAGTACAGATTGAATTAAAATAAACAATTTCTTATGGTTTGGAAGCAAAAAATATATTGCGTGGAAGTCAACTGATATAGATAATATATGGTTTTTAGGGTTCCGTACACAAAGGGTAAAAGGGGATTTGGATATTACTAAGACTCCGCTGTCCGTCCGTCTGTCCGTCCGTCTGTCTGTCTGTCTGTCTATCCGTCTGTCACCAGGCTGTATCTCATGAACCGTGAACAGTTGAAATTTTTACAAATGATGTATATCTGACGCCGCTATAACCGCAAATACTAAAGAATAGAATAAAATAAATATTTAATGGGGGCCCCCATACAGCAAACGTGATTTTTTTGCTCGTTTTTGCTCGATATTGATAACGACAACAGGTAGACGCTTGGAATATTCACAGAATATTTAGTCATATATTCACTTTAAAAATAAATAAATTAAAATAAAACAAATATTTAAGGGGGGCTCCCGTACAACAAATATGATTTTTTTTACACTTGGCCGGTTTTATTTGAACTATAGTTAAAAAAGTGGATTCTTTAGTATATGAGATTTAACTAGTGAAGAGATAAGGCAAGCAAGTAGTCGGTTTGATATAATATACTGAAGGTAACTCTGGCCTGTAAAAAGTACTTTAAATCGGCACATTTTTTTTTTGTTGAGTCTGTCTTCAAGGACCAATTAAAGTTGCAAGCAATTGAATTTAGAAAGATGATATTTTAAGTTTGTTTATTGGAAGAATTATGTTAATCTAATTTTATATTTAGTATAACGATTTTTCATTATATCAACACTAGTGTAGATATGTTTTCTTCACCCAAAAAGACTTTGGATTGGGAACAAAAATTTCTATAGCCATTTTATTAAGAAAGCATTTCTCGGGATGCCTTAAATTGAAATTTTTCCAACCAATTTTCTAAAGCGCTTCTAAAGTCCTTTAAAGTTTATTTTATAAAATTATAAATAATTTAATGATTTATATTCTGATTTCTATGCCTGCTCACTCTGAATAGTAATTAAAATAAAGACTTAAAATTTAAATAAATAAAAATTCGGTTTATTAATTCCTTGATCAAATACCCTGAAAACAAATTCTACGAAAATTTTAGCTAAAAATTAATTTCAGTAAAATCATCTCTTTAAAAATTTTTTTTTTATACAAATACTGGAGTGTGAAAATTTTGATAGAAACGAAATTTTTACCGTCGAATTATAGAAAAACTAATGACCGAAAACGCTAAAATATTAACTAGAGGCCTTCTGATATATGTAATTATGATATTTTTTCAAATCGTAAAGTTAAACTACAATTGTGCCTAGTCTATACATATAATAAAATTCTAACTGAGTCGAATCTGTACATTAAATATTTTTTGGGAAATCTTATTAAAATAAGCATTATTATCGATACAGAGGCCGAATCTATAGTTTTTAGAATTTCTGTCTGTCTGTCTGGGAATGCATCACTACAAAACCACTAGACGGATTTTGATGAAATTTGGTATTATGATAGCTGGTTATCCGGGTCAACATATAGGATACTTTTTACTGCGAGAAAATATCTCATCTCTGAGAAATCTACACTAAATGTTAAAACTTAACAAGAGACAAACCTGAGCGGAGCGAGGGTGAATAGCTAGTTACTTATAACTGACAATACTATCGCATATTTGAGAATCAAAGGTATCTTCTTTACATCCAGTAACTCTTTGTGTATGAATTTTTATGTTACTCGAAAGCTGAATCCGCGAATATACTTAAAGAATATTAAGTGTAAAGAATTCGCGGATTTAGTGATCGAGTCAGATAAACGTTTCTACAGAATAGCATTACAGTGGCGTCATATTGCGGAGTAACGGAACACGACCAATTACGTTTCACATTCTTGAAACATAAATATAGGTACAATGTGAGGCCACATTTATTGCAGGAGTAGGATAATTATAAGGTTTAGTTTTTTTATAATACTTTTTCCAAGTTTAAAAGTTATTTTACATTTTATTTGACATACATACATTAATTACGTATTATTAAGTAATTAATTTTATTATTTTTCACTTCTGTATAATGTATCTCAAATAATTGAATAAGACATATTAGGCATATCACAATCATATAAATTTTATAGAATCTCATATGCCGAAAGAATATAAGATTATATATTTATCAGGCAATAACAACGGTTGCCATGGCAACATGGTAATGCATTCTATCTCATTCTCTCGCCGGCTTGATCCTATATATTTGTGTTTGTCTCTTTCCGTTTCATCGAATTTCAAATCACAACAATTCTAAAGAAGTTTCATTTCAAATTTTTCTTAATACTGTATTAAACAAACATTATGATTATTGGCAAAAGGAAAATGTCCGTGACATTAAAACGCTATCGGAATGCAAAGAGCATATTTGGGGAAAGACTGAAAGGCACGTATATATGGAAGATATACTTACATATTAACTTTATTATAATAATATAATATATTTATCTTAATTATATAAATATACGTATACAAAAATTAAATGCACCAATGAGATTACTTATGCCAAAAACTTTTTGCTTTTGCCGCCTTATATTGCTGATATATAGTAAATAAACGGTAAATATATAATATATAAATATTATTTATCTGGGATATCTAACGCTATGTTTATATGTAAAATTGTTATATTATTCGGTGCTACGGTTACAATTCATGCTCATACGAATATATACGTGTCAATATATATGAAATTGTAAATGAACTTTTCTTCCAAAAGGAAATATGCGTGTGATTTAAATAACGATGAAATATTTTGTTATAATCTTTATCATATATGAAATAAGCCTAAATCAATATTTTTTTTATGTAATGTCTTTTTGATTAATAATTATTAAAAAGTGTAAATATAGGTGGGAATTTCAAATTGAGTCGTCATTTTTCTGTGTATATCGTACTGTGACGTCACGCCATGCGCGCAAAATGGCGGGCTTTTAAAGTATCCGTATTGGTATGATATTTTAAAAGAAAATTTTATACTAAATTATAGTTTTTTGGAGCTGGATATTTTTTTACAATTATATGTATAATGATGTTAGCTATTCTATAAAATAATTAAAATAAAAATCACGCATATCCCCTATTGTCATAATTAAGAAACTTTAGAAGGCCTAAAAATTTAAGCTTGTTTAAAGTGTTGCTTGAAAGAAATTTTTGAATAAATTATTTACTACAATTTATCTAATACTAATATTATAAAGACTTATCCCAAAAATCATCCCTTAAGGGGGTGAAAATGGGGATGAATTCGTATGCAGAATCAACCTAGTTGATTATATAAAACTTTTACAATGAATTAAACGAAGGAGATCTAGATTAAATTTATTTATAAAACCCTTTAATTTCAGTACGTATACATATTATCGTATGAGCTAGAATGAGTGCCTATTTACTTAAATACTAACACAAGAGTGACGCCGCAAAAAAGCTATGTTAGTTACATACAGTACATTGTTCTTTTAAAGCACCAAAATAACACTAAAATGCGCTTAAATAAGCAGATCACACATTTAAGTTTAAAAAATAATCAATTAATATACAGAATGGTTATATAATGTACTATCTTTATATATAAATAGGTAATTCTTTTGTACGTGTGTATGTCACTGAACTCCTACTAAATGAATGGATCGATTTTGATAAAAAAAAATGTATTTGAGTGGAACAACTGGAGCCGGTAGGTGGCCACTGCAGTGCTATGGTGAATACTTAACATACTCAGGCCCGCATCCGAGCGAAGCAAAGGTAAGTCACTAGTGAGTTTATAAAATTGTGTAAAGTAAACGATTTCTTTTTAAATTCACAAATAAATTTTTATTTTTAAACATTTTGATTTTTAGTAATATAACCACCCTGTATATGCATATTCACATAATAAATTCAAAATTACATCAAAGCATGGAGTAATGTGATATATTTTTTCATCAAAAAACAAAGGACCACAGATCATAAAATAAAACAGAAGTGGCATTCTTCTCAATCTAAACAAAACATCAACACATTACTTTTATCTCTAAAAATTAAACAGACAAACGACAAACTAGCATTTTACATATACCTACTAAAATTATAAAGAAGTGAAGTTCGTGAGTCGCTAGCATAATATAAGCACATTTATATTTTTTAAATTCTTGAAAGTTTAAGCCACTTCTATTTATTCATTCATCATCTGTATCAAAATTAAAACTAAATTCTCTTTGGTTCGGCGCGTAACGGCCAGCGGTAATGGACGCCGAATACATAAAGTAAACATAATACGAGATACAGCTGTATATAAAAGTATGTATAGAATATAATTTACTATAAGTTATAGATTAATCAAACATTTATAGGTAACTTATCACCTTTTGGAGGATTTTATATTAAATTTTAAAATTATATTCAATACGTACATTTTAAAACAATGCATCTCGGATTATAATATTTAAATAATACAAACTACAGGTATCTAGACGCTAGCACCATTTAGAAATAAATACAAGTACATATTTTTATATGAGATTACTTTAACCTAAGTCTACAATTGATATCTGCGCAAAGCCTATTAGAGTTTTGTCGTCGAATTGTTCGTTAGGTCCGGTTGAGTTCTGAAACGGAAGAAAGTTCATTATTGCAAAGAAACGAAAAAAATGTGTCAGTTTCGACGCTCACTTGACTCTGTAGTGTCAACCTACTTGCTGTGTCAGCGGTCGCGGGTTCGAGTTCCGCTGGAGGCATTAATTTGTGTGATGAGCACGAATGTGTGTACTACAGTCATGGGTGTTTTATCTATACATATAATAAAATTGTAACTAAGCCGAATCTGTACATTAGATATTTTTTAGAAAATCTTATTAATATAAAAATAATAATAATTAAAATAATAATTAATATATAAAATCTTATTGACGACACGTTTGGCTCAGTTTGTAGTGACCCTACTTGCTGTGCCAGCGGTCGCGGGTTCGAGTCCCGCTGGGGGCGTTCATTTGTGTGATGAGCACTAATGTTTATACTCCAGTCATGGGTGTTTATATTTATAATATGCATTTATTTAAAGTTATATATGTGTAGTGTATCAACTATCTGGTATCCATAACACAAGCCTCGTAGCTTACCGTGGAACTAGATGGTGCTGTGTGTAAAAGTACCAACATATTATATTTATAAACATTATTATCGATACAGAGGCCGAATCTATAGTTTTTAGAATTTTTGTTTCTTTGTCTGTCTGTCTGTCTGTTACCGCATCACAGAAAATACACTGGAGGGATTTTTATGAAATTTGGTATGGTGATAGTTGGTTATCCGGGTCAACATATAGGATACTTTTTACCGCGGGAAAATATTTCATTGTTGAGAAAAAATACAAAAACTGCAAAGTAAGACTATACTAATATGTAAAACCTAAGAATTTGGTTTTGGTCAACTGAACGCGGGCGGAGCCGCGGGCAATGCTAGTTTATAATATATATTTAAAGTTATATATGTGTAATGTATCTACTCTCTGGTATCCACAACACAGGTATATATATATATATATATATATATATATATATATATACAGGGTGTCCCAGAACTCAACGTCAAGCCGAAACGGGGCGACAGGATTGATTGTAACCATCATGAAAAAAATCAGAAAAAAAATCTATCCCATGCAGTTTGAAAATTATGGGCATTTAAGAAAAACCTAAAAATTTGGTCACACTGTAATCATTTTTCGGTTATTGTGGTTAATTTTTATTATTTTTGTTCATTTAAACTTTGTAACCGTAACCCTAAATAACATTTCTAGAATCACAGTCAAAAATAATGACACAATTGCCCCAAGTTTCCTGGAGTTAAGACTATTTGTTAAACTATGAATTTAAAATTTTCAAAATTTGTCAACTTTGAAAGGTCCTCCTTTAAAAAAAATGTATTAGAGCAACTTGGCAAGTGCCGTTAAAAGTTAGCGCGTTTAATCAGGATTGTAAAATGGTACAATACTTGTTAGTTTCATACTAAAAAAAACGAGTAAAAAATTAAAAACCTCAAGTAACCCGATTTTTGCTAACCCATTTTACTCAGTTAAAATGTTTTTTATTCGCACAAGCTCTTGGTAGGTTCTTAATTTTACGGCAAAATGATGAGAGAGATGGGTAGTGGACATGTTTGCCATGAGCGAGCGAGACAGATAGTGACGCCACTTTTACCAAAGTCAACAAAAGTAAGTAAAATTAATAAAATAATGAAAAATCTTGACCTAGTTTAGTTTAGGTTTATTGGAATAATAAAAGTCAGATAGGGAAATAACATTTTTTATTACAACAAATGTTCAAATTGTTTACCATCAGCTTCAATACACGCCCTACGTCTTAAAAACGATCTACTTATTAGCCTGGCATATCCTCGAGAGTTGATGTCCTCAGCAGCTTGAGAAATTCGTTCACGCAGGTCGGCTACGCTCTCAATGGGCTTTGAATAAACTTTTTCTTTGAGAATGCCCCAAAAAAAAGTCCAGGGGATTTAAATCTGGGAAACAGGCTGGCCACGAGATAGTGCCTGAACGAACAATCCACCTTCCCGGATATTGATGGTCAAGGTAATGTCTTACTTGCACTGCGTAATGCGCTGGGCAGCCATCTTGTTGATACCACATGTGACGACGATCTGCAAGTGGTACGTCCTCTAATAAGGTTGATTGAACGGTGCACATTAACAAACACGCGGTGATCCGGATAGCGCTCTAAATTTGGATATCTTTCACGATAAAGTCTAGCGGCAGCACTTGCGTTGCATCTGCATTCCCCATAAATGAGGTGCATGTTCGCATATTCTTGTGAAGTGTAGCGCGTAGGCATGATAGATTACAAGGATGCCAAGACAAAAGTACAATTCCAAAAAGAGAAGCCAAAGTTGTCAGTACTAAATTAACACACGCGAATACCGAAAGGTGCGCAGTAGACGAATGAGCTTGGTATGGCGTCTGTATCTGTTTAATTCGCACTCGGTTAAACGAAGCATCTTCGTCTCACTGCGTGGCGTCACTATCTGTCTCGTTCGCTCATGGTAAACATGTCCACTACCCATCTCTCTCATCATTTTGCCGTAAAATTAAGAACCTACCAAGAGCTTGTGCGAATAAAAAACATTTTAACTGAGTAAAATGGGTTAGCAAAAATCGGGTTACTTGAGGTTTTTATTTTTTTACTCGTTTTTTTTAGTATGAAACTAATAAGTATTGTACCATTTTACAATTCTGATTAAACGCGCTAACTTTTAACGGCAATTGCCAAGGCGCTCTAATACATTTTTTTTAAAGGAGGACCTTTCAAAGTTGACAAATTTTGAAAATTTTAAATTCATAGTTTAACAAATAGTCTTAACTCCAGGAAACTTGGGGCAATTGTGTCATTATTTTTGACTGTGATTCTAGAAATGTTATTTAGGGTTACGGTTACAAAGTTTAAATGAACAAAAATAATAAAAATTAACCACAATAACCGAAAAATGATTACAGTTTGACCAAATTTTTAGGTTTTTTTTAAATGCCTATAATTTTCAAACTGCATGGGATAGATTTTTTTTCTGATTTTTTTCATGATGGTTACAATCAATCCTGTCGCCCCGTTTCGGCTTGACGTTGAGTTCTGGGACACCCTGTATATATATATATATAAAAAGTCGAATAAAATTGACCAATTTAGTTTCCATGACGAAAATTAACCTATGGTATATGGTATGGTATGGTATAAAAATTAACCTATTAAAATGAATATATACTTAGTAGGAAGATACATGTACGTTTCGTACTTATGAATAAATTAACCGGTTTATTTCGGTAACCTTTCTCTTAGTAAAACCGTTAACCATTATTAACCATTATTATCGGTTTATTAAGTCATTCGTTTCCATTAACCGGTAAATGAACGAACGATGAATTTAACCATTACATTACCATAATAAATCGTTATTTACCCGACTGCGGCAGGAGGGTTATGTTTTTCGAGTGTTTGTATATATGCATGTATATTTCTTTAGCACGCTCTGTAGCCTAAACTTAATAGATTTTAGCTTGAGATGTGTCGTTAGATTCATCTTAATTGTGAGAGAGATACTGGATATATGCCAAATTATAAAAATTAAAATGGCCGCTTTTTAGCTCCATATTATGTCTTAAAAATATTTGAAGTTATACTTCTTATAGCACGTTTGGAAAAAAATATGAGAGTAAAATTTCTTAATGCGCGCGCACAGCGACAGCCAAAAAGCGACATGATGAAGCTGCATTCTTTTTACAAACAGAGAAGTGTGATATACGTTATGAAATCTTTAGCTATTTTTGTTCTGTTACGCCAGAGAAGTAAAAGAACTAGGTGCGTACATAAGTGCACACACACTTTTTGTAGTTTACATTTTTACGTCGTTTTTTTATTTATATATATTTATATATCAATACCAGGTGGAATGTGACAGTCTTCACGCTCTGTGGCAGTTTCTGGGCAGCCAGGAGTTGAGCCAGGTTGGTGGATATCGGCACCGAATCCTGGGGGTCCACAAGACCAGCACCCACCAGCTCGCTGGCTATACCCTCGGGTGTGTCCTTACCGGTGATGAACTCGAAGCGAATGTCGTTCAACTCTTTACGATTGTTCCTGTTGATGAGTTATAAATATTAGTATGATTATATTTATGATATGTATGTATTTAAAATTATATATGTGTAGTGTATCAACTATTTGGTATCCATAGCACAAGTCTCGTAGCTACCATGGAACTAGATGGTGCTGTGTTGTCCCAACATATTTATTTAATGAATTAATTGTAACTATACGTTTAGTATACATATAGATCTTAAAGTAAAGAAATATAAAGATTAAAGATATATAAGGAATCCGCTAAAAAAATGTCAAAGTCAAAAATAGAAGCGTGTTCTGACTTGACTGATGAAGTCATTAGTTCACAATTTTGGGGAAGACTATAAATAATATTTTTTAAGCATTATAAAGATACCATAATGTTAATTTTTTCTTTATTATTATAATAAAATATATTAGTTTTTTTTTATTAACATTTATTTACTTATCACAAACGGGAATAATCTTTTGATATATATATATCAAAAGATATATATATATATATACCTATATATATATATATATATATATATATATATATATGTATATATATATATAGGTATTGTTTTAAGAAAATATACATTATTTTAAATCATTAATGTTAAACCTCATATTTAGCTCTATGATACTATATATTTTATCCCTTAGTCTGAGATGTGGACATGCATACATGTCATTTATAATATACAGGCACCCCAACCTCTTATGAAAGATGCTAAGAAATTGTAAAAAAAGTGATTACTATCAAACTGTATTCAGGTGAGAAGCATCGTTTTGATGAAACACACAAATTTTTCCTTTAAATTTGTTAGCAAAAAATGATTTAAAACCATATATGTATCTTGGCATATACTACGAGTGGTCACCAAGGAGGGAAAAATTGAAAAAAAAAAGTATGAGTATGTTACTTATACGATCCCTTATTATATTGTTCCCGTATTGTATGTATGTATATGAATATAAAAACTGTGTAAAATTACTAACCTTAGCCTTAAAACTAAGTTAATAACAGCCGGCTCTGGCGGGACTTGAGTTACAGGTGGAGGCTGACGAGTTTCCTTTTGCACCGGCTCCTGATAATATAAAAACATTGATAAGTTGAAGATGTATGAAACAGACACACAAATCAAACTAATATTATACATTAAAATTTAAATAAATATAAATATGTTGGTACATTAACACACAGCACCATCTAGTTCCATGGTAAGCTATGAGGCTTGGGTCATGGATAGCGGATAGTTGATACACTACACATAATATATAACTTTAAATACGTACATATTATAATAAATTATTTTGTATTATAAAAAATATTGGATGTGTATTTATTTCTTAACAGCTTAATTGATTTGACTGTTTCGGGTGTACTTTGTCCTTTTTTTTAATACTGGAAAATACATCAACACTTGTATATTTATTATTTAGCCCTTTTTAAGCTCCCACTGCTGGGTACTGGTCTCCTCCAATACGAGAGGGATCAGGCCATAGTCCAACTAGCTGGCCGAGTGCGGGTTGGCAGACTTTTTAGTGTATATTTGAAAAAATAACAAAATGGGTGCGTAACTTCTACGCGCGGTTGAAGTAAAACTTCTTTGGCAAATACAGCAATTAAATATAAAAAAATTTTAATAAGGCATATTAGGCATATTACAATCATATATTTATAGAATATCTTAAAATGGAAAGAATAATATATTTGTCGGACAATAACAACGGACAATAACCATGGCAACATGGCAATGCATTCTACATCATTCTCTCGCCGGCTTAATCCTTTAAGTTTGTGTTTGTCTTTTTTAGTGTCGCATTTCGTTTCGATCGTTGTTAAATCTTCCTTTAGGATAGTGTGATGTCTATATTCAAGATATTTGTTCCGCTATTTCTACAATAAACACACGTTTCTAAATAAACACACACTTTTTAATTTTCCAACTAAATCAAACTGACAGGACATTGTATGCCTACTAGGTCCGCTAGTTTTCGCTAGTTATATTAATTTAAACTTGCAACGAATATTCGGCTACTTTTATCCTTATAAATTATTATTATAAATTAAACCCTATTTACCAACCTCATCATTATCACTGCCACTCGAATCGGCACGTTGCAACTCGTTCATGGGCCGTTTGTCGGGGGCTTCCTCATCGGACCCGGGGGTTTCGCCCTCATCCTCTTCTTCACTCCACACCCACTCACCGGTCACAGTGCGATGTAGACGGCCAGACGCACCCGGTTGGCGTTTGCTTGCCTGTGATATATAAATATTATTTGTCAATGAATTGATTTGTAGGAAATAGGTTGAAAATGTACCTTTATATGTTTATTTTTTATTATTTTAACGTTTGTTACGTTTAGTATAGATTTCTCAGAAATGATTTTTTTTGCCACAGTGAATAGTAGCCTATATGTTGACCCGGGTAACTATCTATGTATCATCGTACCAAATTTCATCAAAATCTGTCCAGTGGTTTTCTCGTGATGCGGTCACAGACAGACAGACAAAAATTCTAAAGACTATAGATTCGACCTCTGTATTCTTTAAGATTTTCCAAAAAATGTTTAATGTATAGATTCAACTCAGAATTTTATTATATGTATAGACTAGCGGACCCGACAGACGTTGTCCTGTCTACACGTCTTTAATTTGAAAATTTCAAACTTTTTTTAATAATTTTTTTGATGAAAACTATTATTCAAATTGTGAATCTAAACCATTCCCAGATCCCCTTGAACACACACAAAAAATTTCATCAAAATCGGTCCAGTCGTTTGAGAGAAGTTCAGTGACATACACACTCACAGAAGAATTATATATATAAAGATTATCCAGTCCGTATTATGCTAGTCGGCTAAACAAGCGCTATTATATTTCTATATATTATTTTATATCCTACTAGCGATTCACACTCGCTAGCTCGGGTTCGTCACTAGTGAAAAACAAAAACAAATCTATCCCACGGAAAACGAACATTTCTACGGGATAAAAAATAACCTATGTGCTATTCCATACTACACAAAATCTATCTCCGTGCCTAATTTCATACAGATCCGTTCAGCCGTTCTGGCTTGAAAGAGTATCAAACATTCATCCATCCATTCGCATTTATAATTAATATAAAATGTGGGATAATATTCTAGTTGTCAAGCTATCAGTAGTAAATAGCCAGCCAGCCTTAAATAAACTCTAAAAAATGTTTGTATGTATGCCTCAGTAGATAAACACTTTACCTTGTGAACCCTAGTTTCCATACTGGGTCCGATGGCGACTAGAGTTTGTGTGAGATACTTCTTATCTTTGGCTTTCTTGAAAAATGGATGTTTCAATAGCTCTGTTGCAGTTGGCCTTTTGGATGGGTCCTTTTGAAGACAGTCCACTATCATTTTTCTAAAGGTTTTACCGTACACTTTGTACTGTTCTTTTTCATCGGCCCCTAAAAGTAAATATTTCAGTAGGAATTAATATTTTAAAATATATTTCAAATTTATTAAAAAATTAGAGACGAATCCGAACGGTTCGAGGGTGAGTCTACCTCTCTGACCCTCGCTCCACTTGGGTTCGTCCCTAGTAGTACATTTTAACGTTTAGTACAGATTTCTCAAAGATGAAATATTTTCCCGCAGTAAAAAGTATCCTATATGACCCGGATAACCAGCTATTATCATAACAAATTTCATCAAAATCTACCCAATAGTTTTCTTGTGATGCGGTCAGACAGACAGACAAATAAAAAATCTAAAAACTATGGACTCAATCTCTGTTTTCAGATCTTATTGAAATAGACATTATCGAGGTATTCAGTCATTTATAACGTCTCTCTGCTAGGGATGGGCCTCCCTTCAATACGAGTGGGATCAGGCCATAGTCCACCACGCTGGCCAAGTGCGGGTTGGCGGACTTCACATGTCTTTTGATAACTTGCTAAGTTCTCTCAGACATGCAGGTTTCCTCACGATGTTTTCCTTCACCATAAGACAAGTGGTAATCATGTTGGAAAAAAATCGCACATGAAAATAACAGAGGTGCGAGACCCAGGATTTGAACCCGCTTGTCTCCGTCTGCCATGCGAGCGCGGTACCACTGGGCTACCACTGCCTATTATCATACATAATATCTTACCTGTATCCAAATTAGGTGGGTCGTTTTGTAACGTCAACATTAACACTTTCATCGGTGGGTATTTATGATAAGGCGCGGTACCAGTCGCCATTTCAATTGCAGTGATACCAAACGACCATATATCTGCTTTAAAATCGTAGCCATGGTCCTAAAACAACAATATAATATAATTATTTTTTTCTATTTTAAAATTTCACGACACGCTTAGCTTAGTTCGTAATGAGCATACTTGCTGTGCCATAGGTCGCGGGTTCGAGTCCCGCTGGGGGCATTCATTGTAATGAGCACGAATGTTTGTAACTCCAGTCATGGGTGTTTATATTAATAACGTGTTTATATTAATAACGTATTTAAAGTTATATATATGAAGTGTATTATCTGGTATCCACAACTCAGGCCTCGTAGCTTACGATGGAACTAGATGGTGCTGTGTATTAATGTCCCAACCAAAAAAACTAAAAAATACAATTTTAATGATACAAATTAAACATATATTGCAAATATCTCCCAAATATTACAAGCTATCTGGGTGAAATACATTAGCATATCTTACGCAATCACATACCAAGTTTTATTATTTTGTATGGACAGTGAATGAACGTAAACTAAGTAATCATATGTTGGTAGCACTGTCTCAATAGGTACGCGAGCGCGTAACATTAATAGAGTTACATAGTAATTGGATTAACACAGTTTTTTACAAATAGTCTAGATATAAACAGACATAGAACATACAAATATAGAGTACAGAGTTATTGAGAGATTATAATAATTATGTCTGGCGTTCAATCTGACTGAGACTAGCCAGATACACGACACATTATAGTGCAGACTGAAGCTAATAAGTTTTTTCTATAGTAAAAAGTGTCCTAAATGTTGAATAATAAGCACAAAATTTAGTTAAAATCGGTCCAGTACTTTTCGCGTGAAACGCGAACACAAAAACAGACATACAGACAAACAAGACAATATTTTTAATAACTATTGTTTTGGGCTCTATATTCTGTACACAATACTTCATTCATTAATCATTGTTTTTTAAAAGTTTTTCATACTAGCGACTCACCCTCGCTTCTCTCGAATTCGTCCCTAGCTTGTTCCCAATATAAACTTTCATCCCCATTTTCACCCCGTTAAGGGATGATTTCCGGGATGAAAAGTATCCTATGTCCTTTCCAGGGCTTAAACAATCTTCTCACCAAATTTCATCTAAATCGATTAAGAACATCCAGAGATTACCCCCTACAACGTCACAAACTCACAAACTTTACCTCTTTATAATATTAGTATAGATACATATTTAACAATCCAACCTGTTCCATAACCTCGGGCGCCATCCAACACGGTGTACCAACGAACGTGTGTCTCACTTTCTGCCTGGACAAGTCCCTGCCGGTCGCGAGCCACGCTGACACACCGAAATCCGCTATTTGCACCGCACCATCTTCACCCAGCAATATGTTACCGGCCTTTATGTCCCTGAAAAATGTGTTTAAAATTTAGATATTACCATATCATACAATATACCATAACCTCATAATATGTGGTTTGTATATGTGATTAAGTGGGATATTATAATATTAAACGGGTATTGCTAGTATACCCGCGGCTTCGCCCGCGTCCAAACTTCCGATCGCTAACAAAATTCACAGGATCACCCGCTGGGCTAATCTGAAGATTACCTGAAAATTTCATCAAAATCGCTCCAGCTGTTTTGGAGTCCATAGGAAACATACATACACACATCGATTTTTATTTTATTTAATCAACAATTTAAATTTATTTATTGCTCGGAAAATGGAGTCTTTTATGAAAATTTAGTGACTGCAGCGCCACCTACCGGATCCATTTATGAATTCAAACCTTGCAGTGACCCACTCGAACATACACAAAAAATATTAAAATCGTCCCTGCCGTTTAGGAGATGATCAGTGGCACACCGACTGTAGCGCTACCTACGTTTGTGTTTTCAAACCACCCATGAGCCCATTGCAATATACAAATAAAGTTTTATCCAAATCGGTCCAGTCCTTTAGGAGGAGTAGGTTAACAAACACAAGTACCGAAGAATTATATATATATATTAAGAAGATGAATATGATAAGTATTATATTTGACATTCCGTCATCTCAGTGCTTATTTATCCAAACGACCAATTTACCAAAAGAGTTTTTAATACAGTAGAATTTTAAATGTCAATTGTATTGATAGAAAATAAACATATTACTGTAAAAAAGCTGAAAAGATGTATTTTATCTATATATGTATACAAATCTTAGAAATAGTGTTGTTTTTGAAATAGAGGAGAAAAAACTCTCTACTGTAAAGTACAACAAACATTGGTTGAACAAATAAACGCTAACAGTTTATTTTATTAAAAATCATAATTATTATATAAATATTTAATATTCATTTATCCGTCTGCAAACCATGTAATTGATGTCATACCCCATATTATACTTAATTTATTCCGAATGCACTTTTTCGTCTACATTATAGCAGATTATAAGATAATCCTAGTAATATTATAAATGTTACAAGTTTGTGAGTATAGATGGATGGATGTTTGTTACTTTTTCACGCCAGAACGGCTGAACGGATCTGGATGAAATTCGACACAGAGATAGATTATAGCCTGGAATAGCACATAGGTTACTTTTTGCCCCGGAAAAATTTATGTTTCCTGTGGAATAGATTTGTTTTGGCTAGGGACGAACCTGAAGCGAGGATGAGTCCCTAGTAATTTATAGATTATATACATTTGTTAATTTTGGATGATTTTTAAAAATATTTCATTCAAATTTAATCAAGACTATTATTTACTACTCATACAACATATACTTATTCTGTAATTTTCTTATTATAATTAGCTTATTTAATTATTTTAAGTAATACTTTTGAAATATTCATCTATTTCCGCTACAAATATACATGACTAAACAATAAATTTAAATAATTGAAAAAAATCGTACACTATTCTATGTAATATACTCATTTGTTAATATCATCCTTCTAATATTATAAATGCGAAAGTCTGTGAGGATGTATGGATGTATAGATGTACAGATGTTTGTTACCCTTTCACGCAAAAATCACTGAATGGATTTTAATGAAAGTTTTCTATAATTTAGCTCATACATCAGAATGGCACATAGGCTACTTTTTATCCCGGAAAAATGTACGGTTCCCGTGGGATAGATTTGTGTTTGTTTATCAATGTACTATATGCATAGTATGTGCCTATATATTTGTTAAAATGAGTCTTTTCTAATAAGCATTCGCGTAGCAATATATAAATAAATATATATAAACATTCTAGTGAAAATAAATAATAAACAACGTAATAAATCGCAAAATGCTGCAACATAAATATTATATGATGTTTTGGCGTATCTTGTTAAGAAATCATCATAGTGCATTTATAAAAGTTTATTCATTTTAAATTGTCTTCAATCAAATGTCAAATATTTAATAAATTAAATAATCAATAATTAAAATATTTAACGTGAGCGGAAATCGAACCCGCATATACAAACACAAATATACTTTAGGTTAATAATATTGTTTTTTTTTTAATTTTCAATTTTCCTAACACCTGAAATAGCAGCAAACGAAATAATAATTACATATTGCAAACAAAAACTAAACAAGTGGTATTCGCATGACAGCGCTAATGGAACAACGTTTTCGCATTGTCTTTTTCTAAAACGGCATGAATATTAATGAATATATTGTACTTTGAATGAATCGAGCAAAAATAATTCGACACAACTGTTTTTACATGACTCTTGTCAACGTTATATGTACAATGTACATAGTATTTCGTTGTCTACCTGCAAATTGAGACCCTGAAATTTCTTAACCAAATTCTATGTCGAGTAATGAATTCGATTTAGTTGTTTTTAATTTATTGAATCGATTTCAAGGAAGCTCATTGTTTCTATAGAGTTATATATATTATACTAGCTAAAATACAAAATTTGCTAAAAGCAATTATTACTCGATATTAATAATAAACATATTAGGATTATTTGCTATAAGCTGGTGTCAACTCCATAATTTATAATTGTACGCGCCATTGTCTCTTACACTTAAACAAATATAATACAACAATAGCAAATAGCGATATTACGAAATATGTAAATATTAATAATTAATTTTTCCACTGCGGGAATTGATCCCACGATGTTGTTGTAAGCTCTTACGTCTGTTCTTGACCGACTTAAAAATGGAGGAAATACTTCAAAGTGCGGGTGTATGTTGTTGTACTTATGTGTAAACCGATTTACATGTTTTTCTTTTAATATAACAGAAACTTTTTTAGAATAGATTAAAAACCCACTTCTAAGAGCAGATAATTTAATTCAACATTTACCTTTAAATGAATTTTTTTGAAATTTATTCTTAAGCCCCAAAGAAGTACTCATACCGTAATGTTAAACGTTGTTTTATTAAGCTCTGATGAAAACGAGAGGTGTTATCAGTATATCGCCTGTATGTAGCATTGAAGCCACATAAGGCATAGACTGCGTTTCTTTTTTTACTTTAAAGCTTATCGGCATGAACTCTGTTTTATACATAAGGGGATTGAAATTAAAAATTACGTCGACAATCTTTTATCTTCGCTGTAGCAACATCTTGTACATAAATTTTATTTGCCCACAGATTTATATAGACAATTCGTTTTGCGGCATAATATCAAAGAGCTTTGAAATAATTCAAAGTAACACTGAAGTTCAAGTCTCGCAATCTCTAGACATTTAGTTAATAACGCTTCGCTTAGGTACGTTTTATTTTTTTTGAGCGGAACCCTAATTCTTTTTCAAAAATAAAAACAGCCAAGTTTCTCCTACAGCCCCGAAAAAATCAGTCCAGCCGTTTCGGAGATTGGTCAGAACAAACAGACAGACAAAAAAAATTAAAAGTTGTTTTTTTCTTATAAGTATGGTATATATTTTCATATGCATTTAGTAGGAAGCAGCAGCAGTTATTTTGACATTACAAACAGACAATTCAAATTCAAAATATCACGAGGAAACGTGCGTGTAAAGACGTGACAAGTCCTCAACACCGTATTTGATCAACAAGGTGAATTATAATCGATTTTTTTACATACATCTTAGTCTTACTCACACTCATTATCATACCGATGTACGTTTTAGTTTATAATTCATTAAATTTTCCCAGCCATTTTATACAAAGTATACCCTTTCAATATAGCTATTAGATTTAATTAATTCATAACAATAAATATATGTTATTTTAATTAATAAAGAGCGTCACATAATATGTTATAAGCTACTATTTTATGTTATATTATTTTTGCCCGTGGTTCCGCCTATATATCATTACGTTGCTTTGAACCTTGACTAATATAAGCATTAGTTCTCATTCAGTTTAATAAGCTATCTCCATCTCATTTTGCTTCATTACACTTTTAAATCCGTTAAGTTACAAAGTAAAGGAGAAACAAACAAACACACATAAATACATACATATACATATATAAACATTCGCATTTAAAGAAGAAACAAGCATACACATATAGACATTCTAAATATATTATTAATGTGCTAGCAAATGCAAATGCCTTCGCTTTGCTAAGATTTAATATTATTATTATTTGAATATATAACTACATAAAACAATACTAAATTAGCATTTATTAGCCGACTTCAAAATAAGGAGGTTCCCAATTCGAGTGATATTTTTTTATTCTACATTTAGAATCTCCACTTATAGGTAACAATGTATTATAATTTGTGGTTATCGGCCATTATATGTAACTGTCTCGTTCAGGACGTCCCTACGAATACAATAGACGATTGTGTTTTAATACCAGAGTATACTTGGTATTTATCATAATGCGCTCGTAATATGAGCATTTATTATATAGTACTAGCATTGCCCGCGCCCGCGTTCAGATGACCAAAAACCAAATTCTTAGGTTTTTCATATTAGTATACTCTTACGTTGCAGTTTTTGTATTTTTCTCAGAAATGAGACATTTTCCCGCGGTAAAAAGTATCCTATATGTTGACCCGGATAGCCAGATATCGTCATACCAAATTTCATCAAAATCTCTCCAGTGGTTTTTCTGTGATGTGGTGGCAGGCAGACAGACAAACAGACAGACAGACAGATAGACAGACAAAAATTTTAAAAACTATACATTCGGCCTCTGTACCGATAATAATGTTTATTTCAATAAGATTTTCCAAAAAATATTTAATGTACAGATTCGGCCTAGTTACAATTTTATTATATTATGTATATATATATATATATATATATATATATATATGTATATATAGTATGGATGTCCGACAATATGTGATCATATATGAAAAAAGAATGAATTTATCAAGATACAAGGACTATCTTTACTTCAAATATCAACATTTTCATAAACGACTAAATAAAAAATAATCGCGTTGCATAAAAAAAGTTATCCATGCACCCAAATTTAATATGTAAAATTTACTCCTTTTCAAATAAATTAACATATTTAGGTGTAATATAATATTTATACAATACAATAATATACATTACAATACAATATTGTATAAAATATTGTAATTTAACGCAAATCAGTAGTTTGACTTGGCAAGGACTCAAACCCACAACACTGCAATTAATACTGAACCGCCTTCACATCGCTTCAGCCGTGGTTTCGTCTTTCAATAACTACAAAATACTTATATGCCACAAGGACAGTTTGTTATACAGAATAAATATTTTTTTTCCAATACCGCTTAAGATAAGGTAATTGTCTATACTGAGAATGAACATCTTATATGAAAATTCACATTTTTGAAGTTACATCTCTCTTGGCACGTTTGGAAAAAATTATGACAGTAAAATATTTACGATGCACGCGCACACCGACAGCCAAAAAGCAACATGAAGAAGTTGGCTGCATTCCTTTTAGAAACAAAGAGTTGTGACATACGGGATGAAATCTTTAGCTATTTTTGTTCTGTTACACCAAATAAGTATAACTTCTTACGTACGTACATAAGTACACACACACGTTTTTTTACCTTTTCATACAATAAGTAGCTAAATACATATTTTACAAAAATGTAACACACATAGACTTAAGGAAAAAATTATATAATTCTAACTTCTAGTGTAAATATATATAATGCTAGCGACTTATCCTCGCTTCGCTCGGGGGCGTTTAATTTTTTTTGGGCGAAACCCTAATTCCTTTTCTAAAATAAAAGTAGCCTAAGTTACTCCTTATAATATCAGCCATCTGCCAGTGAAAGTCCCGTCAAAATCGGTCCAGCCGTTTCGGAGATTGCAGGAACCAACAGATAGACGGACAAAATTTTTAAAAATCGTTTTTTTTCCTTATAAGTATACAATATATATATATATATATATATATATATATATATATATATATATATGAACTGTCATATATTGTTATTTTGACAATACAAACAGACACTTCAATATTATTCATCTGTACAGATATGTGATTATACCTGTGAATTTGTCCGTTGCTATGGAAATACTCAAGCCCTTTGAGAACTTCCTTTAGTACAGTGGCAATAGTGGCTTCATCAAATACACCATGTTTGCAGTTTGACACACGCATCTTATGTTTTATCACATCTAGCAGACTGCCGCCTGAAATATCGCATATTTAATTGTTAGTAATGCACATACAGACATACAAACCAAATAGAATTAATTAACATTGAAAATTAAATTACAGTTGGAATCAGTCCTGAATTTACACACAATTTTACGGATTTACACTTGGGGCTAGTGGTCAGGGCTGCAAATTTTATATAAATCATCATTCAAACATATATAAATTATTTTTTATGCATTTTACAAATAAATAATAATGAAAAAATTAAACTATCAAAACTTTATCCATTTCATACAAAATTTCGATAATGGGGCGGATCCCATGGGGGGAGCTAAGGTTGTGTGTTGACTGTGATTTACATTTACATGTTAAAAACCATCATAGTGTACTATTTGAGAAGTACATTATCACTAAATTATTATAATTATTCCAAACTCTAGTAACTAACATTTATTAGTGGCTTTTTTCATGACATTCATGACATTAATACATTGCCCAGTAAAATTTTACTCCTTTAGATAACGACAAACCAACAAACTCACTTTCTGTTTTATAGTATTACTAGCGGCTCACCCTCGCTTCGCTCGGGTTCGTCGCTAGGTACGTTTTAAATAGATATAAAAAGAAAAAATCTTTCTTTCTCACATTTTAATTATATGTTTTAATACTTACCTATTCCGGACTAAGAGAAATACAAAAATTAAAATATCATAAAAATTGGAACGCGGTCGAACGGGATAAAAAGTATCCTATGTCCTTCTCCTGGCTCTAAACTACCTCCCTGCCAATTTTCAGCTAAATCGGTTCAGCCGTTCTTGAGTTATAAGCGAAGTAACTAACACGACTTTCTTTTATATATATAGATTAATATACTATAAACAACATATCTTGCAAAGTTAAATATATTTGTGTAACATATATTTAATACTTTCTATTGGAGAGTATAGTACACATTGCTAAACTGTCTCTAAGTGAATGCAAATCAAACTAGATCAGATTGCGATAAAGTTGATTGAAACACAATGCCTGATGTTTTGACCCAATCAATTTAAATGAATCACAGATAAACTGTGTTCAATGACTCCAAACATTTATATATATATATATATATTAAAATTACATATGTTTGTTTGTATTTAAATTTGCACTTAGATGCAGCTCAAATGCAGACAGAAAGTACTCAAGCGTGTATCCATTAGTCATGTTAGATATTCCACACAGTTTCAATATACTTCCATTTTATTTATAATTACAGAGAAACTATGAAATGAAAAGTAATATTTTTGTTGTGAAAGTTATTAATTACAAAAAAATTATGCAAAGGTACATTTTAAGGAAAAAATTCACTTTCTAAGGTTTAGTTCGGTTCCACATGGATGTGGACAAGTCTATATATAATATCATATTACTATTTAGAAATTTTCTATATATAGTATAAATAGGGACTCACCCTTACTTCGCTCGGGTTCATTAATAGGTATGTTTTAACAATTAGAATGGAATACATAGTATATATATTATATGATATATAACCCATAGTCTTCCTCAACAAACAAGGTATATAATACAAAAAGAATTTTTAAATCAGATTAGTCATTCTTGAGATTAGCGCATTCAAACACACAAACAAACTCTGCCTCTTTATAATATTAAGTATAGTTATTACAAAATAAATACTATTTACCTTCTAATAACTTCAAAACTAGCCATAACTCATCATTGACTACAAAACTAGTGTAGTATGTTACTACATTAAGGTGATTACAGCTGGACATAGCCTAAAATAAAAATAAAACAGATTTAATTTTTAAATAGAAGTTTTTAACTTGTTATATTGTATTTTAGATAATTGATTAAATCAAAAAATCAACTTTACAACTTATTCTAAATTGAAGTCACATCATTTCGCCTTCAATGCCAATTCTGTTAGAACTATTATAAAAATAGGTAATTCTGTTCCATTTAAAGACCTTCATTGAATTATGCATTATTTCATACAAAAAAGATTTTTATTGTAACAAATTTCAAGTCAAATTAAAAATTTCTTGGTTTCTCACATTTAAACTATGATATATTTTTTACATACTTGAATTTCTTTGAGGAGTTCATCCATAGATGTATTCCATTTTTCTAAGTTAATTCTTTTAATGGCACATTTTTCTCCTCTTGGCTTACAAAATGCTGAATAAACAACAGCTGTTGCACCAACGCCTATATAAAAAAATTATTATAATTTATTAAATAAGTCTGTATATTTTGATTTATAGTTCATTTAATAAAATAGTGTAAGATATTAACGTGTTTATTAAGGTTTTATATATGTAAATAATTTATGTATGAAACGAGTTTGTGCAACGCCTATGCTTTTAACATTTCAATTCTATAATTGAGTTGCAGATGGAATGTTATAATGAAAGAAACACGTTTTGTTGGCTGCTTGTAAAATACGTAATGAATTGTTTACATTGCTAGTCCGCGCAAATGGGCGGATTCAGTCAATATCATTGCGTATGACACCGCAATAATATTTATGAAGAAGTAGGAACGATTCAATAATATTAAAAACGTCTCAATTAGGTCAAATATAATTTATATATTAATAATTTATTTAAACCTTTCCTTTCAATATTACAACAGTAAACTGACAATCAATTACACAATATGACAGCTCGTCCAAAAGATTATCAGCCAAAACAAAGTGGATAGAAGATAGTTTATTTCGGTATAAAAATAAAGTAATTACGAGGGTAATTTGAAAAATAAAACTACTTACCGATGACATCTCGTAAATCATAGTGTTCTTGACTATTGGGCCACGGACACGAAGTATTTGCACTGGCCGCCATTTTGCGTGTGAATAAATTTCCGATGTTACCGGCTGTGTTGTTCAAAGAGCACGCGGCTCGTACATACGACGACAATGCCGATAATTGACGGTCGCATGCCCCAAATGATTTCTAAAATATTAATATAATAAAATTTAGAAATAATTAGCACATTATTAGTATATTGATCTGATCTTTGTAAATTCAATAGTAAATATTGGTGTCAAATAGTAAGAAAATCAACTTCGTCACTTCATAATTAACAACACAATTATACTAAAACAAAAACGAAATAGAGTTAAATAATAACAACTGATATTATGTAGGTTAATATAAAAATTAAGTTTGGTTTATATTTGAACTTAAATTTTTTTTGAAATGCAGTATTATTTATAACACACCAGATTGATTTTTGAAAAACAAAATGTATGCCGTAAAGCGAATTATATACCAATAAAATATTAATATTTTATCACTGAATAATTCCCATAAATAATTTAACATAGAAAATATAATGTAAGCGATGATATTTCTACAGAGTCAGACAATTGTGTCGCATTGAATCGCATATTTTGTAGTGTAATCTGTGACTAGCTTTACATGTATATATATGTATTAGGTATTTTGAATATGTAAATCGAAATCATGAACGAATAGTGGTTAATTCGTTCATGATCGAAATGTACCAAAATTTCAAAAATAATATATATATATATATATATATATATATATATATATAAGTAATTTATATAATGATATTCACCTGGCGAAATACTCCACTAACGCCTGGTGCTGTTATTTCTGGCCTCAAATTACTGAAAATAGAAATAAAAATATGTATTAATAAGATTTGGTTTCCGTTTTTAATATATTATTAAATGACAAAAAAAATGTCAACCTTTATGTATTTAGTGTGTAGGTACCTATTTATCTTTTTTTGTTATCTTATATTGCACTATTCAAATTGCTTTTGATTGAGAAATTAAAATGGCAAATCCACGAATAAGTATGGAAAGAAAATGACGACATTCTGATAAGTATATTCTGAGTAACTGTTTATTATATCAGACTAACGACTCACCCTTGCTTCGCTTCGGGTTCTTCCCCAGTGAAAAAAAAAAAACAAATCTATTCAACGGAAACCGTACATTCTTCCGGGATAAAAAGTAACTTATGTGTTATTCCAGACTATAATCTATCTTTGTGCCAAATTTCATCTAGATCCGTTCAACCGTTCTAGCGTGAAAGAGTATCAAACATCCTTCTGTCCATCCCCACAACCTTTCAGATTTACTATATACATATAACAATACTTGTTGATCGAAGACAATATTAGTATGGATTTCAAATACATATGAATAACGTTAGCCATCTACGCAATCAAATTCGTATATAGCTTCCACATAAAAAGGGGCATGTGTAGAAATCTATACGAATATTATAAAGAGGTAAAGTTTGTGAGTTTGTGACGTTGTAGATCTCTGGATCTACTGAACCGATTTAGATGAAATTTGGTAAGAAGATAGTTTGAGACCCTGGTAAAGACATAGTGTACTTTTTATCCCGGAAATCATCCCTTAAGAGGGTGAAAATGGTAATGAAAGTTTGTAAGTTAAATCAAGCTACCCGGGACGAACCCGAACGAAGCGAGGGTCAGTCGCTATTTAAAAATAAACTCAAGAGAGCATTCTAAGGTTGAACTTTGTTATGCTTCTAAAGTCTAAACCAATTCACGAATTGGAATTATCTAAATTTTAAAACCGATACCAAATCCAAATAAAGCCTATAAGATCGATACACTAAAAGGGCTAAATTAAATTTATCTGATGTTTCATTCGTTGTTAGAGAAGTGAGCCGAAAGTGACAGATTTTAATCCGTACAGGTACTACATAGGATTACCAAAGGTTATGAGATAGAAATTTTCATCAAACATCAAATTTTTAGAGATATAAAATCTATTATTGAAAAACATAATTATTACCAAATATTAAAAATCCGACTGCATAAAAAGCGAACTAAAAAGATGGGATCAAATTGACGGAAGGGAAAAGTTCTTTTTTATTTTTTTATTTTTTTATTATTTTTTTATTTAAAGTTTAGTTTTTAGCCAGTTAGAAATTTTAGTTCCATTTAGCATATTGTTATATCTACAAAACTATTTTTAAACATAAATTATATATAATAAAAATCTTTATTTCGATATCACGGGGCACAAAAACTGCCGCCTGAATCAATCAATCAAGACGAATTCAATGACGTATCACGTATGAATTATCATTTGAAACTTTGCTACCCTTGTTGCTTGTTGTTTGACCCTTCAGGCATTGAATTGAGAATATCATATCTCTCATAAAATTTTCCCTATAAAATCCACACTTATTAAAAATCCAGAATTTATTGAAAGTCTTCGAAATAAAAATATAATTTAAAAAATAAGAATCCCGACTGCGTGAAAAGCAAACTAAAAAGATGAGAACAAGTTGACGGAGGAACATAGTACCTATTTATTATGTTTATATTTGATATTCTAAAATATTCAATGCCTAAAGGATCTCTAATACGGGTAGCATAGTTTCAAATTTGAAATTCGAAAATTTCAAATTTAAAAACCAGCGATGGGGTCAATAAAATTAAATAAGGTGGGTGGACCATGAAAGGCCATGCTCTTTGTAAGGCCGATTATTAAAAGTCGTAGTTATTGCCATGCAATGACAAATTCCTTCTACTCAGACTAGCGCCCATGGAACTCATGCACTCAGACGCAGCCGCGAGTCGCTGGCGCTGCTGGTTTGTTGACTCCTTTCGTCGACGTTAAAATTATAATACGCGCTCACAGCAAAACGTTAGTTTTCAAGTAAATAATCTATTATTTTCTTTTTTTTAATCTGAGTTAGTGGAGGGCCGTAAGGCATAAATATGTAAAATCTCGGAATGCAGGGAAAGTCAATAAATGTTCATAAAAACTATTCTATTGTAACTATTATATCTCAAATAAAAAAGTTAAAAATAAAAAAATGTGCGATCTTGATTACAAAAATTTATAACAACAATTTACTGAAAAATGAGAGGGACAAGGGGAAAAAATGTTTAAAGTATCGGTTTCGATTTTATACCTAAAAAAAATATTTGCATAGCTACTTTAATGAAAATTTATTAATATTTCGCAAAAAATAATCAAGCTAATAAAAATGCTTCCACTTCCCAGCCCTCCAACTATCTCCACACAATTAAACACGCCAATCCGTCACCCCGTTTCAACGTGAAAGAAGGACAAACTTTCAAATTTATAATATTACATAAGTAAGGAAGTATGGATATATATATATATGTATATTAATACATTATCGATCATTATTGTCGTCGTCGTCGATCTCATTGATGTGGATTGTAGGTGAAGGATTATTACAGCCGTTACCATTGCATTCTAAGCAAGCTATAGTGCAATTTTATCTACTTTTTCTGCAGCCAAAAAGATGCACCGCATCCTGATTTACATGTGCTAAAATCATTTTCAGTAAGGATTCTGGAGCTGGTAGCTGCGTCATTATTTGCGGTATCAGCATTCCTCATTCATATTTCCAACCCCATTCTTCTGGTGATATTTCTTTTCCGACCCCAGTTTTGAATTTGCAGATATACTCTTTTGAAGTGTCCAAAAGCGGCATCTGCAGTAGGTGACAAAGACGGCAGTTTAACGTGGTATTTGTAGCAGTAGCTTTCAAAAAAGAGTTATATCTTAATATAATATTTAGAGTTATATCTTTTATTTTTTTGGGGGGCAGCGTATAAAGCAAGTCTTAAAATGTCATTAGTATCTTTGCATTCATTTTTAAAAACTGTCGCAGTATTTTGTTTCTCGAAATTTTTTGCAAATATATTTTTGCCACGTTGGAAAAAAGCTGACGTTGCGTCACAACCAGTGAAAGCATGTAAGAACAGAATATGCTGTTTACACTCTGGTAATTTCTTAGAAGAGTACACTTTTTGCCAGCAGTATTTTGCCTTTGGATGGCTTTCGAAAATAAATTTCTCGGTGTGTTGATGAGAGCGCAGTCAATAAAACTAAATCAAATATGTACATCCTCGGACACTACAACAATGTTTTCAGACTGCAGATTAATAGGAGTTTCAATTATTAATCTGTAGACATCAGCTTCTGCTTGGCAAGAAAATATCTATATAAGTATTTCTCGTAACATATCTATGAGCCTGCTCTTATTTTTGGCATTCCCTAAAAATAAAAACAAAAACAGCTACGTATTCAACCTAGCTAGGGCCCAAGGACGAGTTCGTAATAGTTCTCTTTTCAAAATATAATTTTAAACTAATAAAAATAAAAGAAAGCTCCCAAAAATTGATAATTATTTATTTTAATAATTAAAAAATTGAGATCGCGCAAAATATTTTTTTTTACATTTTTCTATTTACTGTTAAAAACACATATCAAAGGTTTTTATATATATTCATTGACCTTCCCTGCATTCCGAGGTATAAATGTTACGGCGATTCACTAAATTGATATATAAGAATTTGCTATTGCAATAAAGAAAAATTATATGATTTATTTCAATTTTAGTTAAAATATCGGCAGTGTTCCTAGGAAAGCCAATAGTTCCTTGTAAGGCCGAAAAAAGTTCATCAAGAAATTGATAGTTGGCTTTGCTTGGTTAGGGACATTTAGGAATAACGAAAATGTAAACACTTAGTTTTTCATGCTATTATGCAATCATCATGATTTAAATATTTTTTTCATTTTAGTCGGTTCCATTTTAGTCGGTTTTAATTATTTTTTTTACTATAAGGATTATTGGCAACTTGTTTGACATCGGTATAATGCTTATTAAAATTATTTTTGAAGCATTTTCACAAATACATTCTTAGTTTTACGATAGTGTTCAAGTAATGTTCGTTGACTATTTTTTTTTATTTAATGTTTCATTTTAATGAAAGACCTTTTTAAGAAGATTTAGGATAACCACATATTTTGACTATCCCAAGGTTAGTTTTAAGTTAAACGACTGATTTATCATATGGGCGTTGTATGGAGCCCTGTTTCTTGCAAGGCAACTTTACAAGTGTTCAATAAAACTTAAATTTAACAAATAATCATTAACTCTGAAATAAAATGTTTTTTAAGTTACATAATAGAACAAAGTTTTACTTAATAATATGTTTGTTTCATTTATCCAATAAATAGAAGAAGAATAATAACTGTTTATTTGTTAAGGTGGCCTTCCATAATCAACTCACTTTACATACACTGTCGCATTAGAGGCAAACATGGTATTTTTATTCTTGAAGAACAAATGTTCTTCGCGAAAACTTTTTTAAAATATTCTTCAGTGTATGTCCAATTAAAACATTACAATTTTATTTTATGCACGTATATAATAGATGATGACAAAAATTCTTTAAGATGACGCAAAAAGCAGTCATCAATGGCTTGATTAAAATGGCAACGTCACACAACTCACTGGACGAAAGTTCTCGAGGCTTTAGGTACTATTTGTTGCAAATGGAAAGAATGAATGATTCAAATCAGTGGTATATTTAATAACATTGTGACGTAGATCAGATCTGATATAACACGTATTCATTACAGTACATTTGCTATGTAGATATGAACCACATACGTCATTAGCCTACCAGAATGATTGTGATATCGTGTTTTATAATAATTCTAATTATAAAAATCAATTTTTTATTACGAATGTGATTATGGTTAAAAAAAAGTTGTAATAGTAAATAGCTAAATTACGTATTAAAGATTAGTCCTATAGAAATAATAAATACACATAACCCTCCTTTCTCTGCAATCGGGCAAAAATATAAACTTTCTTTATCAAGTACCACATTGTGATTGTCGTCTCTGATGTGGGAAATAAAAAAATGTAATAGGGAAAAATATTATAGGGTAAAAGCCGGATAGTTGCCCTACTTTTTAAAAATCTCCGATTACAGAAAAATTAAGTATCTATGTACTTACAATATGCCCCGTGTATAATAAAACATTGTTCTTTAATCTTTCATTGTGACCTTTTTTAAACACAATCAATATAGTTTTTCAGTACATCTTGTTTTATTTGAAAATTTAAGTTATAAATAATAATTAACTTTAAAGACAAAAACAATACGGTAATCAACTTTGACACAAATATTAAAATAAGTGGGTAGGCGGATATCACCAAAAAACGTTTAAAAATCATCATCAATTACGAAGCCTTAACTTCTAATTTTCCACATCTCACACAATATTCTTTGAATGATAAATAAGTTTCCTGGAAATACAATCCAGTCTAATTAGGATTTAGTATTATTGGAATTTTCAAAACATTTACAATAATCATCAACTGAAACTTTATCATTCGCATTTTCTATTTTTGTATTAATGTTAATAACTTTTAATGTCTTTTCAGTCTTTCTTAACATCTTTAATTTTTTACTCCTTTTAGTAGCTTTTTCTTTGGCTATTCTTGTATTTATAATGCTTTTTTTCATTTTCACTCTCGGAACTATAAGTTTATTATTTGTCATTCTTAAAGCTTTTTCTCCGTTTAGTTTAATTAAATCTATGTTGTCAAATTTCGTTTCACTGCGAGAGAAATCGACATATTTTTTGATCTTATACGTTTCGTTTTTCGTTTCGACCTCTTTTCTTCACAATTATCATCTCGTTATCAGCTGATTTATTTTCTACTGTCTTAATTTTTTTATTTTGTTGTCTCCATTCTAGTTCTTTTTGTAGTGTTTGGTTCTTCTTCTTTATCCTTTTTTTGAACTTTTTCGTTTGATTTTTTTCGTTGGAATTTAAAACTTCTGCAGATTGTTTAGCGAGGTAGTTATTTGCGAGGTATTTCGCCTACCTACAACACTAATTGTCCTTAGGGCGACTATCCGAAAAATTATATGGGTCGACTATCCCTTTCGGTACGGATACTTGCCCTTTTATTTTGAAAAATAAATAAAAGCTATTTGACAGTTTAAGGTAATTCAAATGTAAAAGGTAGTGTAATTTAAATTTCAGTACACGCGCAGAAGCAAAAAGGTGACTGAATCGACAACTGTAAAAATTAAATAGAAAATACACACGAATATAATTTCAACGCTCGTCAACGTCCTGCCGCGGAAGATTTTCGCTCACACGGACAAAACACGTTTATCTAGTCCTACTACTGGCATAGTGTTAAGGTCTGTGGAAGAGGCGCTTCAAATTACACCAGAGCGCTAACGTCAAGGGCATCTCTAATATAGCGTATTGAAAACCGGGCCATGTATACCACTGAGGCAACTATCTGGGTTTTACCCTATTGTAAATATTTTCTGCCTAATTTTAGTAAATTAAAATAAACGCTTTAAAATAAAATGCTTGTGATATTTCCTATAAAGCTATGATAGAAACATTATAATTATAAGATTGCTATAATAAGTTATGTAAAACAAGTTAGACGTATTATGTTTTCAGCTGCCTACCTCACCACTGCTTAGTTTAAGTCTAAATCTAAGCATATGACCTTTGCTGGTAAATCTTAATGGTACTTAGTTCACCGTCACTCAAAGCAACTGAGAATACAAAATATACATTATCTTTTTTACTTGCCACAAAACCACAGCTAAGGAAAACGTCTACCGTGGAGAGTTAAGTACTTTAAATCTATCTAACCGAATAAAAAAGGATTATTCACCAATTTCAGGTACTAATAATTAAGGTCCACTGACCACTGCGTCACTACGCGACCAGCCTTTTTGGGACCCAATGCCAAAAAAAAATCGAAATGCCCCTTTTAAACCAACGTGAGCCCTGTCACACCCTTATACTTGAATATGACAGAGACAATTTTCGAACTTCTCACTTTTTTCAAATCGCTTTCACGGAAAAACGGATAGAGTAAAATTTAGTAAAAAAAGCTGAACTTACTGGTACTTCACCGATTTTAGAACATATGTAGGTACGATCACTACCTTGTGGTCCTCGTAAAAAAAAAATTATGCGAAAAATTAGAAATCTTTTTTCTTACGTTTTTTTAAAACTTATATGAGGATATGAGAAATGCTTTGAAATATACGAATCATTTGTTCCACTCGGGCCCCCTTGAATTAGGGGTCCCATGTGACCACGTTGGTTGCATTGGCATAGCTTAAGTTAAAAATTCAAAAAATATATACATCATAATATGTCATATTATACAATTTTTTATTGTGTAAAACTCTTCCTTCGGCAATATCGGATAACAGGATATAAAAAGAAAATATTCCCATTTACAAAGAACATTTGAAAGATGGATTATAATGGCAAATCCTCAATCGTTTTAATTTTTTATTTTCGTAAATAGTAAAATTCATGATTTTGTGATAAAAATAAATATCACTCATTTATATTAATTGTGAGCAAAGTGTGAGGTATAGTAATTTTGCCTACAATCTCAGTCGATAACAGATTATCTCGCTTTGTAAAACAGGCCTAATATAATAAATGAAAATAAGTGCTATGTATTAGAGTGGACATTACCTTATTATTTAATATTTTTATGAATATACTAGCGACTCATCCTCGCTTCGCTCAGGTTCATCCCTTGGTACGTTTTACCGATTAGTATGTAATGATAGACTATATGTTATATATACATAGGTACAAAATAAACAGTTCTGAACTTTTCGATTTTTCAGCAGTTTTTTGGGGTTTCCCTATATATTTTTTTTACTTAAGTCACCCCTGAAACACCCTCAACATTTTTTTTAATTTAAGTCGGTATAGCCGTTTTTGAGTTTTAACGCGACTAACGAACGACAAATGATTTTTATATATTTTAATATCGATAATTGTTATAATAATATGAATATATGTATTTTTTAATTATAAATAATAAATTTGAGTCTTTCTTGCACGAACATTCATTCAGTCAGTCATTTTTCCACTGTATAGTATGTAAATGACCGCAGTGACAAAAAATAATAATAAAGACAAAATAATAAGTAAACTTTAAAAATCTTATTTTATATTCGAAACCTTAGAAATATAAAGGAGAGAGGGAGAGAGTGTGAGTTATTTTTACTTAATTAAAATAATTAAAAAATATATGAATGGAAGGAACATCCTTATTAGATCTACGTCGGGATTAAACCAGGTATTTTATGAAAACACCTTCACAGTTGTAGCTCATTGAGATAAATCAAAATATAAATAGAGCTTTGACCAAAATTTCTTTCATAAATCATATAAACGTCAAACAGTTTGTGTTATGTTAAGAAAAACTTAAAGAAATGACTGTCGCTAATATTTTATTCAAGGTATGTATTAAAAACTTTTAAATTGTTATAATATCGTAAAGCTATTTAAGGAATATTAATTAATTATTATACGTATAAACATGAGTAAGTAATAAGTATATACATATATAGTATGTATATGTAAACCAGTTATTTTTTATCGTAATGTAACTTAACTTATTTATTTACGTCCTTTTATCCTTAACTTATTCAGTTTTTTCTTCTATTCAGCTCATTCACAATAAAAACACTAAGTATATAAAAATATTTTTATATTACTTAAGATTTCTTTAGATACTCATTTTATCCAAACGATGAATTCAATATTTATGTACATTGTACTTGTGTAGAAACGGAAGTGTCAAAATTCAAAAATATATACTCGTATGTACGTACAAATTACACTCCTTAGAGATGAATAATTACGTTTAAGTGATTTTAAAGTCGATGTACCTTAATTTGGTTAAAGAATTCTTCGTATAGAGCTATATTATGGACTGATTAAGATATTATAATATTACGATATTATATATTTCGATAGATCACTTGTTTAATCATGTATTCGTACGATGAAAGTAAAAGCAAAGAGAAAAATTACGTAATATATCTCTACAATATGTATTGTAAATATATTTATAACTTATACTTATATACTAGCGACTCATCCTCGCTTCCCCAGACTCGTCCCCAGGTACGTTTTGACGCTTAGTATGGTATATATTTTTTTCTATTTTTTTTTTGTGAACTTTTCCGATGTTTTACTAGTTATTCTGCTATTCGGGGTGAAGACAAATCCAACAACAAATAGATCATAAAAATCGGTCCAGCAGTTCTCGAGTTATAAGTGTTGTAACAAACCTGGCTTTATTTTATATAATAATATAGATTATATTATGACCAATATATTATTTAATTCAAGTCAATTATTTATTTTGTAGCAAAAATATTAATAATATTTACCCATTTTTATCTCTCTTGGTCTTGAAGGGGCTTCCTATTTCGACGACGGGCTCCATTTTGAAAATTCCTCGGTTTTTTCGTCGAACCTCCATGGTCATTTTTCAATAAACTGTGTAGACTACTCGTAGTACAGTGTAGTTATTCCATAAAACTGCAAACATACATAAGGTCCAATAAATACAGTATTAGTACTGAAAATTTGAAATATATATTCAAAACAATAAAAATAATAAATCACAGATCACTTGTGACTATAAAACGTATGAAATGAAGTAGATTTTTAAAACCTATTTATTTTCTCCTATCGATTTCTGCTTTTCAAGTATGAAAAATTCAGATGACGTATAAATGCAGTTATACGTCATCTGAATTTTTCATACTTATAATCGAGCCAGGAGGTGAATAGTGGAATTTTGTCAAGACTTATTTAAAATATTAATTTTTAGAATTGACTTGTTTTGATGCGTTACAAACAATTAGTCAAAAGTGTGTTCTTTTTATTTTTTAAAAGTACAATATGTATGCAATAAGTACATTTACGAGTACACAACCTATTAACACTTTTTAAATGCTAATAATATACAATTTTATATCTACCTGTTTAGCGTATAATATTCCTTATACGACATATTAATATCTCTAATAGTTTATATTAATTTGATATCTTAATTACTTACTATGATTTTCGTCGATGTTTATTTATGGTTTGATTGAATTGTTTATAACATTTCTAATACGTAAGATGTCTGCGTCATTGCGTTCAACATTTTTCTAAATATTATGATACTGAATATGGAGATAGGCAACGGTCGGATAAGAACGAACAGGACAAGATACTTTTTTATCTATATACTTCTTTATTTACCTACGATATTCTCAAAATTGGTTCCCTATTTGTAAAAATATTTTTAATTTTCTGTCATACATATTTCTTAAATATACAGTATTTTTTATTATTTATTTAATGCGTATACTTTTATGAAAATAAAAATAACATCCAAGTGTCTGATAAAAGGCTATACGCATAGAAATAATTTTGTCAAGTCCGTGTATATGTAATTTACACCTATTTTACTCGGACAATATTCTTTTTGAAAGATAGGCAAGGAGCGTAAATCGCGAGATAATGATATGGCCAAAATGCGAAAATTAATAAAATAAGGGCGGCATTCCATACGGGCAGAGGTAGCCCAGTGGTAACGCGCTCGCTTGCGAAACCGACTGAAGTGGGGTCAACTCCCTGGTCTCGCACCTATGATATTTTTTCATGTGCGAATCATTTCCAACATGATTAGTACTTGTCTTACGGTGAAGGAAAATATTGTGAGGAAACCTGCATGTCTGAGAGAACCTAGCAAGTTTTCGAAAGACATGTACAGTTTGTCAACACACATTTAGCCAGTGTAGTGGGCTGAGGCCTGATTCCACTCGTAATGAAGGGAGGCCCGTGCCCAGCATCGGGATGTTAAAAAGTGCTGAACTCACCAATTCATACATGTAAATGAGGGATGGGAAAAAATAAGCAAACAATATTGCGAGGTACTTATGTTTTCAAAAAAAAATAGATATTTATAATTGTAAAAGGCATTAATTAAAAAATTAAAATACGAAATGACAAAATCCGTCTCCTAAATCATTAAAGAGCAATAGGCTACGTTATTGAATAATTTAATTTTTAATTAGTTTTGCTTTTAACTCTTAAAACTTACAAAATAATTTAAAAAAATGGAAGTCAGCATATAAAAGAAATATAAAAGAAATGTATTCTTATTTTTTAACTTGTTATCTGATTTAAAAAAATAAATATATTTTAGTGGGTAGTATTAGAACTCCTAAAAATAACAATAGCAATCTAGCTGAAAGCTGTTTAGACACATGTACCTAAGTCCATATGTAGTATTTTTTTGTAATTATGTATATATTATGTATTTTTTTTAAAGTTGACAGTCATAATATCTTAGAATATGTGGACTTTCAAAAGGTGTTTAAAACAATTTTGCTTGTATACACAAAGTTCAATTTTATAAGCATTTTGTTCTGAGGTGTTTTAAAAAAGAAATGACCCTCAAAATTCTTACAGGCATAATATATACCACTTATAAGCTTGGAACGATATTTATTTTCAAATAATATTTAAAATAATTTATATTAAATAAGTTTAACTTAATAATTTAATAAAACTTAATTACTTATTACACATAGCATAAAAGCGGCATTACGTAAAAATGCGTTGAAGTACATTTATTGTACGTAACAAAGGACAAAGGTATTACATGTTACGGTTATTCGGCCATTTTTTTTTAGTCTTACGTCTATTTTCCAGCAAAATATCTAAACGTGAGTTAAATAAAATTACTTTTATGTGAAGTAAATACTTATAGGTCAGCCTGTGAAAAGTAACTATCCATACTAATATTATAAATGTGAAAGTGTGTTTGTTTGTTTGTCTTTCTTTCACGCCGAAACGGAGTGACGGATTGGCGTGATTTTTTGTGTGGAGATAATTGGAGGGCTGGAGAGTGACATAGGTTATTTATCGCCGGAGATTATCTCACTCTCAAGGAAAAACACGTTATAATACAACGAAAAAAAAATATTTATTATCAGAATTACTTGAAACACGGTATTAATAAATGCTCTTCAATAGAATTAAAGAAATACGTGTTTTAGCATTTTTCGAAATTCATCCCATAAGAGGGTAGAGGATAAAAGTTTGTGTGAAACTACCTTTTTAGTTTTTTTTGTAGTTTTAGCGCGAGCGAAGCCGCGGGTTCTGCTAGTACTTTATATAAGAAAAAAAACCGTTATAGTAAGTTGTAGTCATGTGTAAAATGTTTCATAACATCAATTATAGTATAACAAACTATACCTGCTTACAGATACAACTTATTGTTATTAGATATATCTGCTTACTTACAGAAAGAGAATAGTTAAATGTAACTTTTTATTTTAATGTCAACGTATAATGATCTAGAATACAATACTTAATATGCATTAGTACATTTTTCTTAACATACTTAGTCAAAACAATATCTAATTAGGTACCCAAAAATTTTAGAAAACGAAAGGTAAATTCCGTTAAAATTAATGATTTTCAGAAATATCCTATTTTGTGATATTGAAAATACAAATAGTGCAGATATCCCATCTCAATATCAAACCAATGGCTATGTATCAGTTAAATTCATAAAAAAGCCGGATAGGTATTATAAAGTATACAGGACATCAAGTAGGTACTTCGGATCAGTTCCGCTAATGCTCTCAGAATAGATATATATACAAATTTCCTCACCATATACTTTCTAACATATTCACTGCAATCCTAAATATGGTACATTTTCACATCATAAATAGAAATAATTTGACCTTTAAGTCAGTTACAATAACACCGAAGGGGTCCTCGCGTACGCGTCATTAAACTAGCTCCAACTAAGTGTATCGAGTAACCCACAGGCCAGAAATGAGAATGCAGAAGTTGACAACAATTTTAAAAAGTACCTGTTTATGAAGAAAATGTAAATTTATTGATAGCAATATCAAAGTGACTCATCTGGATATCTAATATATTTACATAAAAACCTTTTTAAGCTTTTGTTTTTTTTTTATATTTACTTTAATTGTAGGTGTGACCTTAATGTCAATGACAATAACTCAGAGTGTATGTACTGCTAACACTTAACCTCAACTGTTTCGTTAACTCATATATACATACACATATTATGCTCATTTTGAAATATTTTTATTAAGTTTTTTATTTTGTTGTATTCACTGACGTAATGGCTAAATTAATTGTATACCTAGTATATATTATTACATTTTTATGCGTTGATTCAATTTATTGAAATATTTATTTATCAATTTATTATTTTATTATTCGAATATCGATCGCATCTTGGATCCTTTCCGCGATAAACAATAGCATACCCCAGGGAGGGTTGATGTCAGGCAAACGGCTTTTCGTAAAACTTGAGCCAAATCCTATCAGCAGTACGGAGATGATGATTCGAATCTCAATTCTTTTATAAAAGTATATGAATAATATTTTTAATGCAATTTATTTTCCGAGTTGTCGACACATACAAAGAATGAAAATCTAATAAGGCATGCAGGAGCGTATCGAAACGGTTTGAAACGTTCGAACGAGTGCTATCGCGACCGCATATACCTACCTACAGCAGAACATGATTTAATAATAGTTAACCATTCAGTAAAGAAATACATATATCCGAAATTCAAAATCCTTTTAATATCTTTACATAATATAAAATGAAGTCGCTTCCGTTATCTGTTCGCTTAGATCTTTTAAACTACTCAACGGATTTTAATGCAGTTTTCAGCAATAGATAGAGTGATTCAAGAGGAAGATTTATATGCATATATTACATGCATATTATAGTACAGAAAACCCGAGAAATTCAAGGTTTTGTATTTCATACTAAACATTAAAACGTACCTACGAACGAACCCGAACGAAGCGAGGGTGAGTCGCTAGTATTCTATAAAAATTAAGCAAAAAGGGTATGTCTATATAATAAAATCAAAGCAAATAAATCATGAATATATTATATGGGCATGCCTATTGCTATTTATTACTTTAAACATAATATAATATGTTAATTATTTAAATAACAGCAAACTTGAGGCAATTTTAAAATTTTACGTTACATTCGTTTTCTAAAGCAGCAAAAATATAAGGTTTGGATAAAAATATGAGTGTCTCTCACATATAGGTGTTGGACTCCTGGTATCCTGCACGTTGCATAGTGATCTCTGCGGATGGCAATCAAAGCACAGGCCAATAGCGACTAATCAACTCAACGATGAGACACTTATGCGTCAGCTCACTGTTCCTTATACACCTTATTCAGATTTCTTTTTACAATAACAACAACACAAAATTAGATCACCAAGGAATTTTTATCAATAAATTTCTTTTTGCTATTATTAGACCCTTCATTTAATTTTGTTTATAGGTAACAACTAATTTATGTCTAACTAGCATTGCTCGCGGCTCCGCTCGCGTTCAGATGACCAAAAACTATTTTTTTTAAGTTTTTGTATTTTTTTCCAGAAAGAGACATTTTCCCGCGGTAAAAAGTATCCTATATGTTGACTCGGATAACCAGCTATCAGCATACCAAATTTTATCAAAATCCTTCCAGTGGTTTTTCTGTGATGCGGTAACAAACAGACATACAGACAGACAAAAATTCTAAAAACTATAGATTCGGCCTCTGTATTGATAATAATGACTGTTTCAATAAGATTTTCCAAAAAAAATTTGATATTAAATGAGAGAAATTTGATATTAAAGGAGATTATTCGATAGAAACAACAATCAAACAAATCTCTCTTCTTTACAACATTAGTATACATTTATTTATTAAATTAGTTAGATAAAATATTATAACTTTGAGATGATGATCTGTCTCATCTAATTAAAACAAGATTATATTTTAGCTCTTTGTTCTAGCCGGTGTTTTCTTTAGTGGTAATTTGTTCGTATAAAACAGTAATGCCCTCAACAGCATTACTCGAGTCTCAGGGAAAGTTATTTTCTTTACACTTACTACAGCTGTACTAATGTCATCATCATGATCTGCAACGAAAGGACTTTATCATAATTCAAAACAAATTCATGTGTCCGGGTGAGCATGTTTTTGTTCTCAGATGTCAGGCTTTTTGCTCAATAAACAATTTTAGGATATGGCATGAAATGTTGACTGTTTCAGTTTTAGATAAAAAAATCTTAAAACAGATAATTTAAACATATTAATTGATAGCAAATAAGATATAAAAATATATTTTATAGTGTACACTATTCTAAAGCGATATCTTAATTACTAGCGACTCACCCTCGCTTCGCTCGAGTTCGTCCCTAGCTTGCTTCCCCATACAATCTTTCATCTCCATGTTCACTACCTAAAGGGATGATTTCTGGAGTAAAAAGTATCCTATATCCTTCCCAGAGCCTCAGACTATCTTGTTACCAAATTTCATCTAAATCGGTTAAGTAGTTTTTAAGTTTATTCATTACAAACATACAAAAATACAAGTCTTTCCTCTTTATAAAATTAATGTAGATGTATGTATATTTATGCATATGGGTTTAGTGGTTAATATCATGTGTTAATTACAAGCCATATATTAAACTTAAGAAATGTTTTTGTTTATCAACTTACAGCTGAATTTATCGGTTTTGTTAGAAAGCTTAGAGTGTAATTAGAATTTATTCGTAATTCGTAACGAAATATGAATTACGAATAATTAAATATGCGAAACAGTCGTTAGTATTTTGTTATATTTTCTTGCTGGCCCGTTGCATAAATAAATTGCCCATGACGTCATTCGTGCATGATAATTTAAAAATCAGTGCTTTAAGTATTAAATAAAATAAATATTAAATTTCTTCTCTTTTATTGTATAGCTAAATTATACCAAATATATCAATCTACCCTATTATCGCGCTTGCTGGCTGTAGATATACAAGTTCAAGCAGATATACACGCGTCCCATCTATGACTGAACTTAAAGGGACCAAAATATATTCCCAAGGGTGTCTGAGCATTTTAACAGACTTGTTGCTAAGCGGTTCAATATGCAAATAACCAATCAAATCGTAGAGAAAGACTTTAATCTTGATACTTTAAGTATATATATATAAATATATATATATATATATATATATATATCTATATATCTATATATATATATATCGTGTTTGTTACGACACTTGTAACTCGAGAACTGCGGGGCCAATTTTTATGATCTTTGTTTTGTTGGATGTTTCTTCAACCCGAATAGCAGAATAACTATTAAAAATACCGAAAAAGTCACTAAAAAATTTGAAAAAAAAAACAAATCTATTCCTATGTAAAACGTACCTAGGGACGAACCTGAACGAAGCGAGGTTGAGGAGCTAGTTAATTATAAGTAGAGATAGTTCAATTACCATTCTTTTAATGATCTCGCAATAATATTTACAAAAAATTGCGGAACCTAGTCTGGGTGAGCTGTATTTGAAAATTTATTTACCTTTCACTTAACTACTAAAACATGTAATTATTACACTTAGCATAGATCCATTTGAGGAATAATAGCTAATATTCATAAGCTTCTGAATAATAGAACATTCACACTCTAAAAATATGAATGTACCAACAAACAACGCATATATTAGGATATCTTAACAAAGCAATTTTTTTACCTATTCAGTTTTTGTAATAGACTTGCCTTTGCCCGCGGCTTCACCAGTGCACATAAATAAATAAATGAATAATTAAATAAATATGTTGGGACATTAAACCGCACCATCTAGTTCCATAGTAAGCTACGAGGCTTGTGTTATGGATACCAGATAGTTGATACACTACACATATACCTATAACTTTAAATACAACATATTATAAATATAAACACCCATGACTAAAGTACAAACATTCGTCTTATCACACAAATGAATGCCTCCTGCGGGATTCGAACCAGCCACCGCTGGCACAGCGAGTAGGGTCACTACAAACTGAGCCAAACGCGTCATCAAACTATTTTTTTAAATTTATTTTATGAAATGAAACTTTATTGAAATAGACTTATTATAAGAACTTTTGAGTACTTATTGCGAGTATATTTCCCATGCTTAAGTATCTATGAGCGACAATTTTATAACAATAGGTGACAAGGTGCAGTGCCATCTAGTGGCTCGTTACGAAAAAATGGGTACAATAAAAACATTCTTCATTTTAAAAAAGTTATGTGTGTGTCCATATTTCAATGCATTTTATGAGGAAATTATGGAGATTTGAGATATTGTGCAACGTTACATTTTTATTTATACACAAGCATTGCCCACGACTCCGCCCGCGTTCAGATGACCAAAAACCATTTTCTTAGGTTTCACATATTAGTATACTCACGTTGCTATTTTTGTATTTTTTCTCAGGAATGAGACATTCTCCCGCGGTAAAAAGTATCCTATATGTTGACCCGGATAACCAGCTATCATCATACCAAATTTCATCAAAATCTGTCCAGTGGTTTTCTCGTGATGCGGTAACAGACAGACAGACAAAAATTCTAAAAACTGTAGATTCAGACTCTGTATATCGATACAATGATGATAATGTCTATTTCAATTAGATTTCCCAAAAAATATTTAATGTACAGATTCGACTTAGTTACAATTTTATTATATGTATAGACTAGCATTACCCGCGGCTCCGCCCGCGTTCATATGACAAAACCAAATTCTTAGGTTTTATATATTAGTATAGTTGTATTAGTATATTAGTTGAGCCGGATAACCAGCTATTACCATACCAAATTTCTTCAAAATCCCTCCAGTGATTTTTCTGTGATGCGGTCACAGACAGACAGACAGTAAGACAAAAATTCTTAAAACTATAGGTTCAGCCTCTGTTAGCGATAATAAATAATGTGTATTTCAATAAGATTTTCTAAAAAATATTTAAATCGCAATTACGGCTTGATTAAATTTTAATGTATCTAAAGATGTAATTAGTTTATAAAGCCAAAAAGATTGTATTTTGATAATTTGAAGACGGGCGGGGCCGCGGGTAATTTAGTAGTAATTCTAATAAAATTTTAGAAGGCTCTAATTTGTACATTCAATTTTTTGGAATTAAAACTACGTATTTTAAAGACACATGGCGACATCTATTGACAAATATCTAAATAATACAAAAATAAATATTCATTAAAATAACTTTTTTAATGAATAAAATAGTGCTATTGATATACTTTTTCAAGATTAGCTATTTTTAATAGTTTTTGTCATATTTAGTAAGTTAACTTGCTAAAATGTATATAGTATCATCGTTTTTTTATTCTAACCAGTTTTTGTATTTTTTCTCAGAAATGAGATATTTTTCTGCGGTAAAAAGTATCCTATATGTTGACCCGGATAATCAGCTATGACCATACCAAATTTCATCAAAATCCGTCCAGTAGTTTTTCTGTGATGCGGTAACAGACAAACAGACAGACAGACGACAAAAATTCTAAAAGCTATAGATTCGACCTCTGTATCGATAATAATGTCTATTTCAATAAGATTTTCTAAAAAATAATTAATGTACAGATTTGACTTAGAATTTTATTATATGTATTGATGATAATACGGTAAATTTAAAATATATACACGATTAATACAATATATTTTTAAATTCTAGATTGTATGCATGTGTATGCTTTTGATGTCGACGTCCGCATCACGCGAAGATGCCGTCCAGGACTTCATTGAACATGTCTTGAGAATACCAAATCCTGAAAAGGTTTTGAACTCCGTCTTGGGAAGATTAGAGAAGAGTAGACAGGGACAGAGAGCAAGGCCGCGATTTGCTGATGATACAGACTGCGACCAACCAGAAGTACCTAAATATTTAAATTTTTCTTTTTTATTTAAATATTATTTAATTATTATTTATTTATTATTTATTTATATATTTAATTTATTCAAAGATCTTGATTTAAAAATAAAAAATATACGTCATAACTTCAAAATATAAAATTGGACCAAGGTTACAATTGTATGTATATGTATGTAAATGTTAGGCTAAATTTGTTTTTGAGGGACGTTTGCTCAATATTAAATCAAAATGTTTTTAGCATTTTCTCGTGATACTCTAACCGTTACAATCACGTTTTTTTAACAAATTCTATGGTAGTTTAATATGGTAGTCATACTTAAATATTAAAATGGCTAAACGTGTTCGATTATTTTTCTACGGATGCCGAATATTAGCCGCCCGCAGTCGTTTCCTAATTTGGATGGATCCGGTGGGTAGAGATCAGTAATAAAATGCTATGTTTCTGAGATATTTGGAACTAGAAATCAATATATGAAAATCATTATATAGAAAAATAAGCAATTCAAAAATATTCAATGTTAATATATACTAACATTTTTTACCCAGTTTTTATTTTAAGATGCAGAAATAGAATAAAGAAATCAGATAAGTTATATTGTTTATTGCAGATTCTTCCAGAATACACTGAATCCCTGGAAAATTCACACGAGCGGGAAATGAGACAATTAGGTTCACAGGTATTCAAAATAATTATTTTTATGTAAATTGACCCTCTGAAATTAAGGGTTGCATACAAATAAAAACTTTTTAACAAAAAAATAAAAACCGACTTCAAACAAAAGCACTAAAAAGTAAAAAATAACTGATTGGTACTTTCATTTACTATACATACCTAATCAAATATTTTTGAAGTCCGTGTGCATTGCCCCCAGCTCCGCCCGCGTTCAGATGACAAAAAAGCAAATTCTGAGGTTTTACATATTAGTATACTCTAACATTGCAGTTTTTGTATTTTTCTCAGAAATTACACATTTTCCTGCGGTAAAAAGTATCCTATATGTTGACCCGGATAACCAGCTATCACCATACCAAATTTCATTAAAATCCCTCCAGCGGTTTTTCTGTGATGCGATAACAGACAGACAGACAGACAAAAATTCTAAAAACTATAGACTCGGCCTCTATAGTTTTTAGAATTTTTGTCGATCGAATCGATAATAATGTTTATTTCAATAAGATTTTCCAAAAAATATTTAATGTACAGATTTGGCTTAGTTACAATTTTATTACATGTATGGATATCAGTAGGTATCATAATTTCGTGGACACTTTAAAATAAATAGGTATATATGCAATCAAACACTAGGTACATACCAACATTTATGACGTACCGAAGGTTTATTGAGAAACATCTCAAACCTAGTCGTAATAGCTACATATTGCGAAATTATAAAATATAACATATTTTTTAATTCTATAAATATTATTTTAGAATTTCTAACTATATACCTATGCGGTACTTGACATGCATTTGAAAGTTTCACACTTTAATCTTAAGTATCTTAAATGCCTTGAAAAGACCTTGGTGATACCATAATTTCGTTAAATATAATTTACAATGTTTACTTGTTTTACGATGTATAGCTCTAACTTTGTAGAAAAATATATAATACTATTTATTATTTAAGTCTCCACAAACTTTCTAAATGTCTATTTTCCGAAACAATATAAAAACTTCTTTGGAGACTTATTAAAAATTATAATAAAGTAGGCTTCGCTTCCCTCGAGTTTGTCCCTAGATGCCTAGTAGTGGTCTATATTCTAGACTTCTCTAGTAAGTCTTGTCTGCTCCAGGTCATAGCCTAGCTTCCACCAGATGTGTTTTTACCTTTTCGTTGTCGGGGGAATAGCTTCCGGCAATCTAGCCGGGCGTGAAGCCAAAAAACGCACTGGGACCAGGTCCACCTCGGTGGTATGTGTACCGTGCAGTTTGCTCCTAGTACTTTGTGAGAGTGGACTTTGGAAGCAACCCCTTGGTTGTTGTGGTCTGCCTTGGCAAGCCAGTCGTCGGTGTGTCGTGGTTAGTGCGTTAGTAATCCTGCGACGCCCCATTAAGACGGGGATGGTTCCGTTGAGTTTAGGGGATAGTAATGATTTTCCTATCCGGATATTCCACATAACCGTGTGATAATTAATTAATCCCATATAACCATCTGTATGTATGAAAGTTATGTTCATTTACCAATGTATGAAGTAGTAGCAAACGTACATATGTACGTAAACTTTCGCATTTATAATAATTAAATGTAGTTCGATCAATTCATTACAATCTTTAGTGTATCAAATTATCCATATCCATACTAATGTGTGAATGTGAAAGTGTGTTTGTTTGTTTGTCTTTCTTTCACGTCGAAACGGAGTGACGTGATTGGCGTGATTTTGGTGTGATGATAGTTGAAGAGCTAGAGAGTGACATATACTTTATATCGCGGGAGACCATCTCATTCCTACGGGAAAACACGTTATAATAATCCAAAAAAAAATTTCTGATCAGAATTTTTTGAAACTTACTATTAATGCTCTTCAATACAATTAAATAAATACGTGTTTTAGCATTTTTCGATTTTCATCTTATGAGGGGGTAAAATAGAGGATGAAAATTTGTATGCGCGAGCGAAGCCGCGGGTTCAACTAATAATATTATAAATGCGAAAGTTTGGATGTATGGATGTTTGTTACTCTTTCACCCCAGAACACCTGAACGGATCTGGATGAAAGGCACAGATATAGATTAATAATCTGGGATAGCACATAGGTTACTTTAAATTCCGGAAAAATGTACGGTTCGCGTGGGATAGATTTGTTTTTGTTTTTCACACAGTAAGGGATCGACTATCTATTCCCTACTAACCGCTATAACGTACTTAGAGACGAACCCGAGCGAAGCGAAGATGAGTCACTAATCTAACATATTGGTATTTTCACTTTTTATTGGTTCTTGAAGATACTTAAATTTCATTCATCCGTTATAGTATTGTTTTTGTATGCCGCTTATTATTATAGTAGTTCTGTCTGTGTGTAGTCTAGTATTACGAGTAATTATACTCTAATAAAAACGTAAGTATAAAGTAGCACTGAGTACATAAAGCTCGTATCTAGAAAAGAACACGAAAAATGGCATTATTATTATTAAAAAAGAAAACAAAAAATATTTGGAAAGATGGAAATTCATAGAAAGATTTGTTAATATCGACTTAGCTTTTGTCTTAAATGTTAAGTGTAACAAAAATTTCTTTTCCGTAGAAACATTATCCCATCTGCCATTTGGAGAGAAAAATTCATAGGTTAAACACAAACGAGTATGAGTACAGACCGGCGTACTACGAAGAAGTAAGATGTACCATGACCCCCAGCGACGATGGTAACGTCACGAACGAGGTAAACCACTTATTGAGCAACTAAACATTCATTACGTTCAATTTATCCCATACAATTATGAATGCGTCAGTAAAAATGCTCTATTATGAACGTACTACTAGTGTATGGTAATAAAATTGTCAGTTAGTTCATACTCGTACTAACGACCCCCCTACTTCGCTCTAATGTACCTAAATCCTAAAGTAAAACCTTTAGATAGACAGTATATTCAACAAATTTCATAAATACGCTAAAAATAACTTTCTATTTTTTTATAGGACAAATTGGTTTATTCCTAAATGAAAGGCCTTTTCGCTAAATAACTCATTCTAAAAAGACTTATCGCAGAGTGATTAATTATTAAAATAACCTTTTCGCAGAATGCCTTCTTTTAAAAGAGTCATCAACCTTTGTCAACTAATCCACATTAAATCCTCCTTTATTGTTTGAGCAATATTTTTAAAAAGGTGGTTATGAGTTTGGCCGGTATTTATAGTATACTAGCATTGCCCGCGGCTCCGCCCGCGTTAAGATGACCAACAATCAAATTCTTAGGTTTTACATATTAGTATACTCTTACATTGCAGTTTTTGTATTTTTTCTCCGAAATGAGATATTTTCCCGCGGTAAAAAGTATCCTATATGCTGACCCGGATAACCAGCTATCATCAAACCAAATTTCATCAAAATCTGTCCAGTGGTTATCTCGTGATGCGGTAACAGACAGACAGACAGACAGACAAAAATTCTAAAAACTATAGATTCGGACTCTGTATCGATAATAATGTCTATTTCAATTAGATTTTCCAAAAAATATTTAATGTACAGATTCGACTTAGTTACAATTTTATTATATGTATAGCTTTTTATTTAATCTGAGGTGTCTGGACTTTTTTTTTTATTATGAAAATGTATATTCTCTCAGTGTTATAGCGCAAAACTGATCACCATAATTTCTGAAGCTGATCAATGGGACCTTTTTGTTCAACAGATTTATTATTTTAAATATATGAGCATTTACTTTTAAATATATTTTTCAGCATTTTCAAAATAATGCCTATCGTGAATATTTTTTTTAAAACTACAGCTTATTTTGCGAATAGGTCCTATGTAGAATAACCCTAAACCCCTTTTCTATTGTATATACATATGTAGATTATATACTAATAAATGAAGATGGACACACCTAATATTTCTAAAGTCCTCCAAACCGATTTCGGTTAAGGTGGTTAATCTTAATAAAACTAGCTAACTGCATGGGACATACTGTAGTGCAATGTGCCTCTGTGCCGATCCAAGTTTCCTCCCTATGCTTTTTACTGTTATATCCTGGTAGGTTGATTATTGAGAGATAAAATACTGAACCAACTACCTTGGCCAGACCCCGGACTCAAACCCACAACTCACGATTAACTGTACAGGTTTAACCACTAGGTTAAAGTCTCAGAGACTTATGCCAACTACGCAGATACAATACGCGTGTTCATCGCTTATTGAAGGCACTGTGTCAAAAGCCTTAGCGTGTGAGTAATAACTTACAAATGAATGTAGAACTTCATCGCGATTGGATCGAATTCGGTTAAGGAACATACAATATACAAGCCTCAAAGATATAAACAGAGATATTACCCAATGCCCATATTATTTACTTATGGCATCTATTTTATTTAGTCTGAGCAATAATGCTCAGACTAAAAAATATTGTGTTTCAACTAAACTTGTGCACAGTTAATATATGGTTGATAGTTTAGGAGTGCTCATGTTACAAACATACAGAGTACAGACAGTCATATATTAATATTTTTATATGTAGTACATGAATTTATAGATTTCAACAAACAAGATGATTTATAATATCTGAAACTCTAAATGACATCTAATGCTTTATTATAGTCCAATATTGAGAGGCGAACAATAGCTGCCGAATGTACTTGTTTTGACTTTAACTAGGAGTTATTATAGATAAATCTAAAAAAAACAGCCTCCATGCACCATAACCTTTTGCTTCAAAAATAATTTTATATACATATTTTTAATTGAAAATGTGGGAATACAATTAAATTACAGCTTAAATTTCCTAAAAATTATGATAAGAATTCCTAAAAATCATAAAAATCAACACAAAAATGCACTTACAAAGTTATCGCGTAACACACGAAAATACGAATTTCTATTAACTATACCTAGTATATTACTACGCACTAACAATAAATAATGAAAATATTTATTTTGCATTTAATTTTTCTATTTCAAGTGATTTTTAATAATTAAGGAAGCGATGGTTTGATAGATAAGATAACAAGGAAAGAAAAAAATCATTTTCTTGAAGTTACAGTAAAAGTGCGTGATTATTCAAGATTCATAAACTATGATTTTAAATCGATATTATTGGATTAAAATATTAAGGTTCTTTTTTTCCTTCTGTAGACCTTTACTTAAGAGAAAAACACTGAAAACTTCCATCTCCTTTTGTTATACTTAAAAATAGTCCATACAATTAAATACTTTATAAATAATACTTAAGGTTTTTAATAATTACTGAAATCAATATTATTTCGCTATGAACGTACAAGATAGTTAGTTTGTAGTACTATACCTAACCAATCTTATACACAAGGCAAAATATGTTCCACGTAGGCATAAAATCTACCAGGAATGCATAACCGTTAGATGGTAAACGCGAATGCATCAGCTGCTGCATCTAGATATACATAAATATGATGTAAATCAATAAAATTACTAGACGAAGAGCTGTTCATGCGATTTTATCATACTTTTTTAACAATTGTAAAATATAAATTCAATAACTTAAGCAAAAATTTGTTAATTGAATAATAAAAATAAATATATTATCACTTTAATATAATACTAGCGACTCACCCTCGCTTCGCTCGGGTTCGTCCCTATGTAACACAAATCTTTGAATTTCTCAGCTTATCTGTACTATAATATGCATGTATTATACATATAAACTTTCCTCTTGAATCACTCTATCCATTAATAAACAGTATCAAAATCCTTTGCGAAGTTTTAAAGATCTAAGCATACATAGGGACATACACACAGCGGGAAGCGACTTTGTTTTATACTATGTAGTGATGATAAGAAAATCTACATTCATATTCGTATAAGTTTTTTATTCTGGATGGAAAATCCGGACCATCCAAAAATTAAAGCAGGCTCTTAGTCTATGTCAAATGCCGCTGCGCATCCAAGTATTGATCCAATGGGGCTATATTTAGGTCCTTATACTAAGGTTTCATAAGGGCAGAGAGTTCTTTTCATAAATGCACTTTCGCTTTTACTAGAATGTCATAGATTAGGATACCACCACCAGAATATACATGTACATTGTATATATTTGAAATGATAATAATCACTCGAAAAACGAGAACTATTTTCTAAGCATGTATTTCTCTATATACTTCAACATTTATATACAAAACTGACGTCTCTGATATAAAGACTTTTGGGTCGCATTTTTTCTTTTTGAGATAAAAATGAGTTTTAAAACCCAAAAAACATATTCTGTTTATGAACTTCAATTTAGGGGCTCGTCAAAACGGATCATATGAGTCCAATCTCGAATGTTTTGCTAAAAACCATTGCCATAAAAAAATAGTTACTAAGCAAAGTCAGTCAAAGTGGATCAGCCCATGTTCCTTTACAGAAAGTTTCATCAATTTTGAATCTTAATGGTAGGAGATTATCTATACTAATATTATAAAGAGGCAGAGTTTGTTTGTTTGAACGCGCTAATCTCAGGAACTACTAATCCGATTTGAAAAATTATTTTGCATTAGATAGCCCTTTTCATGAGGAAGGCAATACCATATAATATGTAGTCTATAGGTATATTCCATACTTGCCGCTAAAACGTTCCTAGGAACGAACCCGTGCTAAGTGAACCGAGGGTGAGTCGCTTGTAGTCTAATATGACAATCAAATACACATATAATAATTTAGATTTCATATTTAACATCAGATTTGTTCGAGCCTCGGATTTTCTTGCGTACAATGGAACAAAACTATACATTTGACTAGACGACGTTACTCAAGGTAAGAAAATAAGTTAAAAACTAAAAAGGTATTTTACATTTTGATTTTTAATGTTTGTTTTGTTTTAATTTCAAAATATTCTTAACTAGCATTGCCCGTGGCTCCGCCCGCATTCAGATGACCAAAAAACATTTTTTTTTGGTTTTACATATAAGTATACTCTTACATTGCAGTTTTTGTATTTCTTCTCAGAAATGAGACATTTTCCCGCGGTAAAAAGTGTCCAAAATGTTGACCCAGATAACCAGCTATCACGATACCAAGTTTCATCAAAATCCCTCCAGTGGTTTTTCCGTGATGCGGTAACAGACAGACAGACAAAAATTCTAAAAACTATAGATTCGGCCTCTGTATCGATAATAATGTCTGTTTCAATAAGATTTTCCAAAAAAATATTTAATGTACAGATTCGGCTTAGTTAGAATTTTATTATATGTATAGATTAAGCTCTTAAATCTTCATTTAATTGTTTTATCATAAAATAATTATATTACAATAAAACATTATTTTTCAGTGACTGCTGGGAAACGAAGACAATGATTATACCGGCGGGTTGCGAATGTATGTGGCCTGTTCACAGACTCGGAGACATGACCTTGCATGTTTAAATATATTGATTATTGGTATATAGGATCTCCTGATAACAAAATCTTTAAATGTGGAGCATAGTTATAAAAGTTTTGGATCTGTATACAAAAATATAAATAAACACCGACTTCAAAAAATTGTCTCTACACTACATAAACGTTAAAAACACGCTGGGTATTATTAAATGTTGTTGGAGTAATTTTTTTTTAATTTTTTACTGATCATTCTGAATAGAAATGGTTATTTTTTTTACTAGAGTCCAAAAATGTTATGCAAAATAGAAAAATTTTACCCATTACAGATAGCTACTGTTTTTAAACTCGGTTAAAAATGGAACTGTGTAAATAAAGTGACAAACTTTTTTATAGCTTATGTTTATTAAATAAATATGATAAAATACTTAAGTATATTATTATATATAGTAGTAAAACCTAACCTAAACCTAAGTATATATATAGTAGTAAAACCTAACCTAAATTTTCATAATTAATATAATAAACAGTAGTCTTATATTAATTTTTCTAAAGTTTAAGATAACTTTAGTTTTAACTAGCGGCTTAAACTCGCTTCGCTTGGGTTCGTCTGTAGATAAACAAAAACAAGCATATCCCACGAGAACTATACATTTTTCCGGGATAAGAAGTAGACTACTATGTGTTATTTCAGACTATAATCTATCTCTGTGCCTTTCATCCAGATCCGTTCAGCCGTTCTGGTGTTATTGAGTAACGAACATCTAAACATCTAAACTTTCACATTTATAATATTAGTATAGAGAAAGAAAATTACAAATATATTTAATTATATATACAAAACAAATATAGACCTAAATTCTGTTAAATCAATATATTTCAAAATATTTACCATTAAATTTTAATATATATTTACCAATCCACGTAATCCTTTTTTTTTATATATATATATATATATATATATATATATATATATATATATATATATATACCCCCAGGGATGATTTCCGGGATAAAAACTATTTTATAACCTTCCCAGGGTCTCAACTATCTTTTGATTAATTCGTTCATGCTATCTTATTATCAAATTTTATCTAAATCGGTTCTGTAGTTTCGAAGCTTATTCGATACAAGCAAAGAAACAAAAAAATCATTTGTCTTTATAATAATTATAGATATGAATTTTATTATTGACTTATAAACTATAAATGATATACCTTTGTTCTGTCCAGTTGTATATCTATTGAGACATAATACATACAAATATATATTTTCATCACACTCGTTTTATCTGATGTATTCAAGCAAAGAAATAAGAGACCATCCTGTAAGTATTACGTGTCACCTATTGTGAGATAAAACTATATCAGAAACATTTTAAAATTTTATCACAATTGAATAGATGATTTAGAAATATTTATCTACGGGTGTATTTTATACCAGCCTTCATGAGTTCCTTCAGTAGAACAAGTGTCCCAAGCAAATGCATTGAAAATTAAAAACCTATAAAGTTTCACTGAAGCATGAGACATCTCACTTACAGTGTAGTAGCATTATTCAAACAAGGCGACATCCGCCCACTTACAAACAGCAATCAATTGATGCCTAGTCATTTGATCTTACATTATTAGTATATACCTATGTAAAATATACCAATGAGATGAATTATAATTGTATGACAAATAATTTTACGAGCTCTACATTATTATGAAACATAAAAAAGCTAATTTCTTATAAGTGTAATAAAAAGATTAGATTTCATACTTGACTTTATAAAAGACTAGCAGAACCCGCGGCTTCGCTCGCGCTAAAACTACTAAAATACTCTAAAAAGGTACGTTTCTTACAAACTTTTATCCCCTATTTTACCCCTTTATGGGATGAATTTATTTAATTGTATTGAACGTAACGTATTTATTTAATTGTATTGAAGAGCATTAACACCAAGTTTCAATTAATTATGATTATAAATATTTTTTTGGGTTGTATTATAACGTGCTTCCCCGAGGGAATTAGATAATTTTCCGCGGTATAAAGTAGCCTAAATGTCACTCTCCAGCGCTCCAAAAATCTCCACACAAAAAATAGGCCATTCCGTCACTCCGTTTAGACGTCTAAGAAAGACAGACAAATAAACAAACAAACAAACAAACAAACAAACAAACACACTTTCACATTTATAATATTAGTATGGATTTTACTTCATTGTACTCTAAATTCAATGTATTTCCACTCGCGATTATAATTTGCTGGGTCATACGTCACGAGAACTATGAATAATGACCCTAGCCTTCTTACCTTGGAAGTAATATAGCTAACTAGCTCATTGTTGGATAAAAACAGATCTATAGTTCCATTGAGTTCCTTTTGGCAGTTGTTCAGAGAACAGGTATTTTTTTCCAAATTTTTAGTAGAATTTTTTTCAAGCAATAGATGCATTTCTGTAATACCATTTCCATACTAATATTATAAATGTGAAAGTGTGTTTGTATGTTTGTTTGTTTGTTTGTTTGTCCTTCTTTCAAAACGGAGTGACAGATTGGCATGATTTTTGTGTGGAGATAGTTGAAAGGCTGGAGCACTGACATAGGCTACTTTTTACCGCGGGAGATTATCTCATGCCCTCGGGAAATCACGTTGTAATACAATCCAAAAAATATTTATGGTCGGAATTACTTGAAACTTGATATTAATGCTCTTCAATACAATTAAATAAATACGTGTTTGAGCATTGTTCGCAATTCATCCCATGAGGCGGTAAAATAGGGGATGAAAGTTTGTATGAAATCTACCTTTTTAGAGTATTTTTGTAGTTTTAGCGCGGGCGAAGCCGCAGGTTCTGCTAGTTGGTGATAAACAGAACATAGGATTTTTTAATATTGTATATACGTACATATATATAGAAAGAAGCTCTACGGTATCTTTATAAATTGATCAAGGTATAATAATTGAAAATCGGTTACGATTTTTATGCAAAAACAAGACATACAGAATATATTCAAACTATATAACGCATGCCTAATAGGCATATTTAACATAATTCGTTGGCTCACTATTACAAGGTTCTATGTTACAATTTTAGTACTTATTTAGTTATTATTGCTACAAGGCTCTATGTGTCATTAGCTACAGTTTTGCAAAAACAAACCACTAGATAGCGGCACTATAACTACAAAATATTCAATTTTACATAGTTCTATGTTGTTTTTTTTACGATAACAAAATAACGAAGTTCTATGTAAAAATTACTAAACTACATTAAAATTAACATAGAACCTTGTAATAGTAAGCCAACGAATTTATTATTATGCCTATACTTATTTAACAAGCGATACTTCGAAAGGTCCCTCAATATTGTCTTAAGCATTTCCTCTTAGGAAAAGGAACAAATAGACATATAGGTAGGTTAAGCTAGAGATAAAGAATTGGAACAAAGGTATACTTATGTCTTGAAACAATATATTTCAACATTTTATATAGTAGAATTCAACCCTTAAAGGGAAACTTGAACTTTCGAAGTGTCAAAATTAAAAACGCTGGTGACGCCAATGGGCCATAGATAAATAAAATAGATACGGTCAAATCATCTATTTTTTTAACTAATATTTGTTTACAATGTAAATACAATGAAAGCAAAACTCTACATACGAAACAAATTCCACAAATTCCTGTACAAGTGCAAGAATGCTAGCTATACTAGCAACTAAATTCGTCTCCTAGCTAATAATAAATATTTCGTTATTATTATAATAGAAAAAAGGATAAAATACTTTTAAGTTTTATTTATATTTACTACACTTCCGCATCAAAACAGGTTATTTACAAGTTATTTCGTAAAAAGATTGCCTTTGGTTAGGTGAGCACAATTTGAAAACGAGGGAATTTGAGGGATTTAACGTCTATCTTTATATTACCCAATAACGACTAACTTCATACTGTAGTCAAAATCTGTCGCAACGTACAAAATTCACTCTCATTATTTTTTCCATAATGCGCTAAAAGAAGTACTTACATCTTCAAAAACAACTTAAAATTTTCGTTATTTTGGGGTCAATTTTCTAGTAAGTAGTTTCTAGTATTTTAAATAAAATAAGAATTATAAAAAATATTTGCATTTTGGATTTAAGTACATTTTACAAACTATTTTGCATATTTCTACATGTAAAAGAAGTCTCGCAACACCGTTCTTCTACCGCAAAGAGATTTGAGATCTAATAATTAAAAACCATGTTGCTTAAATTATTCAGTAACCTAAACATATATGGAAGCATCTATTCAACAACTTTGTCATGAATTGTTACCTAATAAGTTAAATAAAAAGATTTGATAGTGACCGAATTAATATTAGATATTTGTATTTCGTTAATAAATAGAATGACGGCAAATAGCAAAATTTACCTTTTATTTGCATTCTGAGCGCATTGTTTATGTTTAAGTATGCATAAATTTAACCCGCTAGCGGTATTAGCTTATATGTTCAATTAGGACTTTTTAAAATTGTAGATTATTTTTATGTAATTATGTTTCCATGCGATAGTCATGTCATTGTATTTATTAAAAAAAAATAAAGTTATTGCATATCCATTTATATAGGATAATAAAGTAATGCAGTTTGGTGTATATCTAGAAAATGGGACTGGAATATTTTATGGGATATTTTAGTTTTTCCTTGCTGTATAGGTTAAATACTAATTCTGTTTAAAATTTGAAGCTTCTGTGTCTGCTAGAAATTCCTTAAAATTTTGATGATTGGTGGGTGAGTGAGTGACGAAATTAAAGAACTTGGACTTCCAATAGTTCTTAAAGTGAAGGTTCAAATTTAATGTAATTTGAGAATATGTGCATTCAGATATTTTTTTAACGTCCCACTGCTGGGCGCGAGTCTCCCTTCAACACGAGGGGCCTCAGGCTATAGTCCACCACGCTGGCCAAGAGCGGCTTGGCGGACTGCACATGTGTTTCGAAACCTTACTAGGTTCTCTCAGACATGTAGGTTTCTTCTTTTAGGAATATACCTAGCTATAATATAGCCCTTAGTCACTGAA